AACCTACCGGATGACCTTGTACATGGCAGGGTTAGTGAAGGCGGGTTCGTCCAGCTCGTTGTGTCCCCACTGTCTGTAGCAGAGCAGGTCCAGGATGACATCCTTCCTAAAGCGTCTCTGGTACTCCACCGCCAGCCGCGTGGCTCGCACCACCTCCTCTACATCATCACCGTTCACATGGATCACCGCACAGCCCACCATCTTCCCTGGAGAGGGGAGAACACACACAGAGTGAGATATTACAGATGTATTGACATTCCCATATAAATATATTACTGATTATAATTCCCATAGAGATATACTTGAAATATGTTATAATTATGTTAGCGATTTATAATTCCCAATTTTATTTATGAAACTAAAGCATATATACACACTACCGTTAATGTTGTAAATGTCTATTGTATCTGGAAACGGCTGATTTTTATTGGAATATCTACATAGGCGTACAGAGGCTCTGGCTGGGCCACTCAAGGACAATCAGAGACTTGCCCCAAAGCCACTCCTGTGTTGTCTTGGCTGTGTACTTAGGGTCGTTACCCTGTTGGAAGGTGAACCTTCCACTCAGTCTGAGGTCCTGAGCGCTCAGGAGCAGGTTTTCATCAAGGATCTCTCTGTACTTTGCTCTGTTCATCTTTGCCTCGATCCTGACTAGTCTCACAGTCCCTGCCGCTGAAAAACATCCCCACAGCATGAAGCTGCCACCACCATGCTTCACCGTAGGGATGGTGCCAGGTTTCCTCCAGACGTGACACTTGGCATTCAGGCCAAAGAGTTCAATCTTGGTTTCATCAGACCAGAGAATCTTGTTTCTCGTTGTCTGAGAGTCTTTAGGTGCTTTTTGGCAAACTCCAAGTGGGCTGTCATGTGCCTTTTACTGAGGAGTGGCTTCCGTCTGGCCACTCTACCATAAAGGCCTGATTGGTGGAGTGCTGCTGAGATGGTTGTCCTCTGTCAGAGAGACCATCGGGTTCTTGGTCAACTCCCTGACCAAGGCCCTTCTCCCCCGATTGCTCAGTGTGGCCAGGAGGCCAGCTGTAGGAAGAGTCTTGGTGGTTCCAAACTTCTTCCATTTAAGAATGATGGAGGCCACTGTGTTCTTGGGGACCTTCAATGCTGCAGACATTTTTTGGTACTCTTCCCCCCCAGATCTGTGCCTCGACACAATCCTGTCTCGGAGCTCTACGGACAATTCCTTCGACCTCATGGCTTGGTTTTTGCTCTGACATGCACTGTCAACTGTGGGACCTTATATAGACAGGTGTGTGCCTTTCCAAATCATGTCTATTCAATTGAATTTACCACAGGTGGACTCCAATCAAGTTTTAGAAACATCTCAAGGATGATCAATGGAAACAGGATGCACCTGAGCTCAATTTCAAGTCTCATAGCAAAGGGTCTGAATACTTCTGTAAATAAGGTACATTTCTAAAAACCTGTTTTTGCTTTGTCATTATGGGGTATTGTGTGTAGATTGATGAGGAAGATGTTGTATTTATTTATGGGTGGTCCTCTGTAGCTCAATTGGTAGAGCATGGCGCTTGTAACGCCAGGGTAGTGGGTTCGATCCCCGGGACCACCCATACGTAAAAATTTATGCACACATGACTGTAAGTCGCTTTGGATAAAAGCATCTGCTAAATGGCTTATTATTATATTATTATTTCATCCATTTTAGAATAAGGCTGTAACATAACAACATGTGGAAAAAGTCAAGGGGTCTGAATACTTTCTGAAGGTACTGTACACACACACACACATTATAATTCCAATAGATATTATTCCCATAGATATACAGTGAGGGCAAAAAATATTTGATCCCCTGCTGATTTTGTACGTTTGCCCACTGACAAAGAAATGATCAGTCTAGAATTTTAATGGTAGGTTTATTTGAACAGTGAGAGACAGAATAACAACAAAAAAATCCAGAAAAACGCATGTCAAAAATGTTATAAATTGATTTGCATTTTAATGAGGGAAATAAGTATTTGACCCCTCTGCAAAACATGACTTAGTACTTGGTGGCAAAACCCTTGTTGGCAATCACAGAGGTCAGACGTTTCTTGTAGTTGGCCACCAGGTTTGCACACATCTCAGGAGGGATTTTGTCCCACTCCTCTTTGCAGATCTTCTCCAAGTCATTAAGGTTTCGAGACTGATGTTTGGCAACTCGAACCTTCAGCTCCCTCCACAGATTTTCTATGGGATTAAGGTCTGGAGACTGGCTAGGCCACTCCAGGACCTTAATGTGCTTCTTCTTGAGCCACTCCTTTGTTGCCTTGGCCATGTGTTTTGGGTCATTGTCATGCTGGAATACCCATCCACGACCCATTTTCAATGCCCTGGCTGAGGGAAGGTTTGACGGTACATGTCCCCGTCCATCGTCCCTTTGATGCGGTGAAGTTGTCCTGTCCCCTTAGCAGAAAAACATCCCCAAAGCATAATGTTTCCACCTCAATGTTTGACGGTGGGGATGGTGTTCTTGGGGTCATAGGCAGCATTCCTCCTCCTCCAAACACGGCGAGTTGAGTTGATGCCAAAGAGCTCGATTTTGGTCTCATCTGACCACAACACTTTCACCCAGTTCTCCTCTGAATCATTCAGATGTTCATTGGCAAACTTCAGACAGGCCTGTATATGTGCTTTCTTGAGCAGGGGGATCTTGCGGGCGCTGCAAGATTTCAGTCCTTCACGGCGTAGTGTGTTACCAATTGTTTTCTTGGTGACTATGGTCCCAGCTGCCTTGAGATCATTGACAAGATCCTCCCGTGTAGTTCTGGGCTGATTCCTCACCGTTCACATGATCATTGCAACTCCACGAGGTGAGATCTTGCATGGAGCCCCAGGCCGAGGGAGATTGACAGTTATTTTGTGTTTCTTCCATTTGCGAATAATCGCACCAACTGTTGTCTCCTTCTCACCAAGCTGCTTGGCGATGGTCTTGTAGCCCATTCCAGCCTTGTGTAGGTCTACAATCTTGTCCGTGACATCCTTGGAGAGCTCTTTGGTCTTGGCCATGGTGGAGAGTTTGAAATCTGATTGATTGATTGCTTCTGTGGACAGGTGTCTTTTATACAGGTAACAAACTGAGATTAGGAGCACTCCCTTTAAGAGTGTGCTCCTAATCTCAGCTCGTTACCTGTATAAAAGACACCTGGGAGCCAGAAATCTTTCTGATTGAGAGGGGGTCAAATACTTATTTCCCTTATTAAAATGCAAATCAATTTATAACATTTTTGACATGCGTTTTTCTGGATTTTTTTGTTGTTATTCTGTCTCTCACTGTTCAAATAAACCTACCATTAAACCTACCAATTATAGACTGATCATTTCTTTGTTAGTGGGCAAACATACAAAATCAGCAGGGGATCAAATACTTTTTTCCCTCACTGTATATAAAAATTCCAATTAAGATTTTTAGATACAGTGATAGATTTTACATACCAACATCGCTGCAGTATAAAGACGATCTCCCTCTCGCAGACGGAGTGGTATAACCCACTTGGTTGTTTACAATGAGGTGGATGCTCCCACCGACTCTGAAGTGGGGGAGTAGTGAAATGGTGAATGTCTCTGGAACAATTCCTTGACCCGAGAATGAGGCATCCCCATGGACCTGAGAAAACGAAGGATAGGTTCCACAATAATCACCAGTTAATTGCAGGCCTGAAAGTTGGAAAATATCCTCCATAATTGACGTCAACGATGGACCACGCCGGTATGTCTATTTAAACTTTACTTCAGTGTCATAATCCCTTTCTACTCTCCCTCTTTATTACATATTGTACCATAAGTGCTTTTCAACTGTGCAAGGCAAATTCACTAGAGAGCAATAAAGTATCTTATTCTATAGATGTTTGGCTGAGTGAATGTGTTTCTAGTTCAGAGGGGTAAGCAGGATTAACAAGTTAGCCCGCTAACTTTGATAAACAACCAGAAATAACTACTGATTTCTGGTTCATTAAGAAAGCTAAACTTCGATATGTGTTTTTGGTTGTCGAGTCATTTAGACCATGCCCATTTCAAGCTTATATTTCTCAAAAATATAAACTTTTTTTCATAATATTTAGGCAAGTTAGCTGACTAACTCCTTAATTCCCCCTCAGGAGACTGAAAAGATTTGGCATGGGTCCTCAGATCCTCAAAAGGTTATACAGCTGCACCGCCGAGAGCATCCTGACTGGTTGCATCACTGCCTGGTATGGCAACTGCTCGGCCTCCGACCGCAAGGCACTACAGAGGGTAGTGCGTACGGCCCAGTACATCACTGGGGCCAAGCTTCCTGCCATCCAGGACCTTTATACCAGGCGGTGTCAGAGGAAGGCACTAAAAATGGTCAAAGACTCCAGCCACCCTAGTCATAGACTGTTCTCTCTGCTACCACACGGCAAGCGGCACCAGAGGGCCAAGTCTAGGTCCAAAAGGCTTCTTAACAGCTTCTATCCCCAGGCCATAAGATTCCTGAACAGCTAATCAAATGGCTACCCGGACTATTTGCATTGACCCACTCTTTTACGCTGCTGCTACTCTGTTTATTATCTATGCATAGTCACTTTAACTCTACCTACATGTACATATTACCTCGACTAACCTGTGCCCCACACATTGACTCTGTACCGGTACCCCCTATATATAGCCTCACTACTGTTATTTCACTGCTGCTCTTTAATTTATTTTATTTTTTTTACTTATCTATTTTTTACTTAACACTTATTTTTCTTAAACTGCATTGTTGGTTAAGGGCTTGTAAGTAAGCATTTCACTGTAAGGTCTACACCTGTTGTATTTGGCGCATGTGACAAATACATTTTGATTAGATTTTTGCCCAGGGGGCCACATTCCATCCTCACCAAGGTCCAAAGGGCCACACTTCATACTGGTTATATTGGCTTTCCAGACAATACTCCACAGGTTATATTGTCCTCAGGCTGAACATTGTCTTTCAGGGGAGTAGTCTCCCTCCTGTTGAGCCGCGTCTAGATATGTGTCTACGTACGGCTATGTCTATGGTCTCAGTACCATACCTGGAGACAGACAACTTTATCACCAGGCTGAGCGTTCTCATCTGGGGAGTAGTCTCCCTCCTGTTTGAGCTGCTGGCGGGCGCGGGTCTTCCCCTGGGTGACTGGGTTGATGGCCTCCAGGTGGGAGGGGTTGGGCAGCATGGTCACATGGAGGGGGTGGGCAGCACCGAAGTCCAGATCTACAGAGGAGGTGAGGTGGGAGAGGACATCCCCGATGGAGGGAGAGTCTGCTGGGAACTCACTGAGGCCACGCATCTTACGGAACATCAGCTGGAGGTGGAGGGACAGAGGAGACAGGAGGTGCACATCCCAAATAAATATCAATCAATCAATCAATATATGAATAAATACAAGTTTAAAGTCCCAGGAGCGAACCCTGAGGAAGGCAATTGGTGTCAAAACATTGGTTCATTCATATGGATTGGGAGTGTGAGACCATCTTTATTAGTCATCCCAGGGTCATTCATGGTAGCCATTACAGCCAAGACCTTTGACCTGGAAGATGTCTGAACCCTGACCTCTGGTGGGAACTGCAGCAGCCCCGTGAGGAGGTTGAGTCTTCCGCGGTGAGGCATCCCCATGACGATGTCTGTCACCCCGCTGTGGGAAGACAGACGGAACATCTCGTAAAACACTCCCATCATGCTCTCTGCTCCCTCACCGCCATAACGCTTCACCGTGGAGAACTTTGTGGCCAGAAAGTGATCGAACTCCTGAGGTAACACAAGAAACAGGTTGTTATTGTACAAGAGAACGTGTTCTCGATTACTTCTGGTTAAATAAAGGCAAAATACTAAAATAAATAAGTCAGCAAGATCTGTCTCAGTCTTTCTTGGAAATAGGACAAAAAAAACAATACCACCTCATTCTCGCTAATAAGATAATTACTTTATTATTCTCATGGGGAGATTTGTACTAGATGCCAATTACTCTGATGTTAGATAAGATCATAATTTTTATTAGTTAGGCTATTAAAGCTCAGACTATAAATACAGTACGACAACGTCTCTCTATCAATCCATTCCTCCCTCCCTCCATCCATCTACCTGTGATGCCAGCATTAGTTTGGCCCGTTCTCTCCTCTGTGGATGTCTCTTTCCATTTATCCATTCCTCCCTCCCTCCATCCATCTACCTGTGATGCCAGCATTAGCTTGGCCCGTTCTCTCCTCTGTGGATGTCTCTTTCCATTTATCCATTATCCCTCCCTCCATCCATCTACCTGTGACTCCAGCATGAGCTTGGCCAGCTTTTTCCTCTCCTCCACAGTAAACATCTCTTTCTTCAGCTCCTCGAAGCGGTCTGCGAGCCACTCCCTTTCCTCCAGGCTGGTCAGCTGACTGGTCTCTATGGAAATGCGGCCACAGTAGGCCCCCTCCAGGTAGGCAATCACCTCCTCCACCGACGCCTCGGCTTTACCAAAATGCTGTAGTCCTGGATGAAAAGGAGTTCATATAAGAGTCTCCCTTGAGGCTTTTTCTTTTTATCAGGTGAACCCTGCCTGAGAAAGATCTGTTTGGTCGCAAATGTGTTGCAGTATGCAGGACAAATCATGTGTGTTTGTGTTGTACATGTGACGCAATAGAATTAAGAATTCCTCATCTCCATGTAGGGATGAATGTGATGGATATTATAGACACCCTGAATAACTCAAATGTATTTATAAAGCCCTTTTTACATCCCCAGTTTTCAGAAAGTGCTTTTACCCTCTGAATCATATCCACTATTTAATGTGTATTACCTGCATTTGAGTGGTCTATTAATTTGGGAGTGCTTATGTAAAGGATAATCAGCTTGGGGCTCTATTCGTTCTCTGGAAAACAATGAACGACGTGGAAGGTGTGTTCCACAACGCGCTAGTGGAGTGGAACTGACCTTCCACGGAGTTGCATTATTTTCCAGAGAACGCATAGAGCCCCAAGCTGATTATCCCTTTTATACCATGGCTACAATTTAACTAATTTACCGCTAGAAATGAATTCATTTGCAGATAGAAATGTGTTCAAGATCCACTGAAGTAGCTAGCAAGTTTACTAGATAGTAACAGTAGTTGTCTTGGCAACCAAACATACAGACTTGCTAGTTTAGTTAACCAAACCATCAGTCTAGCTTGCTATTACAGAAATCTAATTAAACAATGCCGATAATGTTTTCAATTTGACTTTTGCTTTCAAAAGCAGCTCAAACATGGAACAAGAATGAACTATAGCCATTGAATTATATCGTGCAAATATCCCGTGCGTTACAGGGAAATAATGCACTCTCTAGAATTCCCTTCAAGCCAATCAGAAATTAGTATTCAACAATGCCATGGCATAAACAGTAATAACTGAGGTGTGAGATATTATTATTGACTGTCACTGAAATTGCTTCATCTCCAGGCGACACCATCCACTCAGAATGCGACACCATCCACTCAGAATGAGAGCCTGTGTTAAGTTGATGTATTGATGTTAAATTGACGTGCTGCGAGCAAGTCAACATACAAATTAGCATTAGAAGTTTGGGCCATTTCCAGGCACACAGGGATGCGCTTCCCATTTAATTGGTCTAACTGTAATGTATGGTTGGTTTAGCAATTCAAATGTTTGGTGATGGGTTTAACATTGGCCTCTCCGTAAGGCTTCCCTCCTATCTACACTACAGTAGAACTACCTAGTAGTAGCTAGCTAGTAGCCTAGTAGTAGCTAGCTAGTAGCCTAGTAGTAGCTAGCTAGTAGCCTAGTAGTAGCTAGCTAGTAGCCTAGTAGGAGTATGAAGATAGTATTAGTAGACAGAAAACGCTGCTATGCATCGTCAATGTGAAGTGTATTTACATTTACATTTACATTTTAGTCATTTAGCAGACGCTCTTATCCAGAGCGACTTACAGTTAGTGAATACATATATATATTTTTTTTTATACTGGCCCCCCGTGGGAATTGAACCCACAACCCTGGCGTTGCAAACGCCATGCTCTATCAACTGAGCTACATCCCTGCCGGCCATTCCCTCCCCTACCCTGGACGACGCTGGGCCAATTGTGCGCCGCCCATGAGTCTCCCGGTCGCGGCCGGCTGCGACAGAGCCTGGATTCGAACCAGGATCTCTAGTGGCACAGTTAGACCACTGCGCCACTCAGGAGGAGTATTTATTGCTAGATTGATTTAAATCAATGAAGAGTTCTACCCATCCCTTTACAAACTCCTTTAAAATGAAGAAGTCAATAGACCACATAGCCATAGCCTACCTGATGTGTTGAGGGGTCCTTGTACAGCCCCAGTCAACATGTTGATCTCTGGCACACTGTCCTCCACTGGGTCGTCGGGCAGCAGAGGGTTAATTTTAGCAGCCTTGTGTCCATGTGTTCGGTAAGCCTCCACCAGACGTGCTAGCCCATGGTCTGTGTAAACGGAGGAGGGGGGTAAATCCATTTTGATTTGAACGAAACCTTCCATACATATTTGCCCATTGTAGAAGTGCTCAGAACGTGACTTTTTTTGACCTGAATGCCAAAACATTCAACAGATAAAGGTGCTCAAAGTTGACCCATTTTGCATACCCCACCATACATCCATGTCTTCATCGCGGGACATGATAAACGGCCACCTTTCTAATGGCGTACCAGCTAGCCTAAACTGCAGTGGTCTGGAAGGATAGGTCCATTCTATTCATTATATTTCTATGATTGAAATGACAACCATCTAGTATTCAAGAGCATGTTGTGTCTCAACCGATGGCGGGCACAACACAAAACCTCCGATGATGTAAAGTAGGGTCCAAGCTAGCTCTTGAAAACCCTTCTCCATATCTAGAGTTTTCAACAGTTACAGTCGCCCACTGATTGCTCCGTGTGAACTACAATTCCAACGCTGTGTTTTAATGTCTATAATCATCGCTTTCATACCGGTTTTTTCGAAGCATATGCCCCTTGTCTTTCATATCAGCGAGAAATAATATTTCAAATAAAAAATATACTTACTGTAGAAGTTTTGTACAGATCCACAAGCTGTGTGTGCCTCCAGTTGACAAACTATACTTCCTCCCCAGTTACACACAGGTGTTTGGAGCACGCTAGATAGCTAATTAAGCACGTAAGTGTCATGAAAAGCCAGAAAAGGCTGTTGTGGACCCTCTGGAAAGTCCTAAAATATGCCCCCGACCGCGGTGGTGGTGGAGGATGCAAAGTATGTATATAAGCAAGTTGCTCTTTTTTGAAGACATCTCCAAGCTATAACTGCCACAAACTAATTCAACTGGTACCATGGAAATACTTTTAGCCAGCTAAGTCCACAACGTTTCTTCAGAAATGTCATTGTCTAGTTATTTTAAAATCTCAAATTGATAAAGTTGTAATGCACTGATTCTCTTCACTGCAGACCTGACACATCACACCACTGTTCAACGGGGCCACTACACTCCAGATTGCCTTCTACGCTCAAAGGTCCTTGATGAGGATCCACCCCATCACACCACTCTTATTAATAATTAATACAATAAAACATTGGACCGTTATATACACTGTGTCCCAGTCTTTCTATGTATGTCATGTCTGTGGGTGAATTATGAAACATTACTGTATGCAGATGTGCAAAAAAATTTCATGTAGATTTGTTTTTGCCATTGCTTGACCTATTTGAAATGTAAGAATATGTTGCAGATTTCAACTTTAATTGGTGATAATGGAAACAAATAGAAATGCAATTAACAATGTTTTCAATGTCCAACTTTATCCTCTGCAATACTTTTTTTTACAGTAGGTAATACACTGTAGTCAGTTAGTCATTACCAGGTTATGATGAGGTCTTAACTATGACCAGCAGGCTACATAATATAGCGGGCCGAATTATGACCAGCTGGTAATATTGTGGTCAGAAAAATACGTCCTATTCTGCTCAGTAAAAAGACCGGGGGGGGTAACAGTTTGCGACCAGAATAAGACGTCATACGGATGTCTTTTCAACCAGTTTTTGCCCACTGGGAATGTTGTCCAATAGTTATTTTCCAATTGATAATGACAAAGAATAATTGCTAAAGGTTTAAGATGTTCATTATCAGCAAAACCTACTGACCTCGATTGAGTGCAGTGATATACGAGACTGGGTCACCGTGCAACTCCGGGTGCCCCTGGCTTTGTTTGGGTCGGTAACCGTAGACTCCTTTCTGGGTGTGATACAGACAACTGACGACCGGTCGAGAGACACTGAGAGGTACTCGGCTGACGCGGTGCAAATTTTTCAGGAATAGTATCGCTGACATGATTTGAAATGAATAAAATAAGTTAAAAAACGACGCTAGCTAGCTAGCTAGACCGTTACACACACTTCAGAGCAGCAGCCACACTGCTTGTGAAAGACAGGAGGTGACACCATACAGCAAGCTGATTGGTTGAGCCGTCGGCGTGTTTCGTGGAAGCGCAGAAAGTGTTCGGGTTAAATGGAATTATGTATATCCATCCAAATTACATGGATATATAGCTTAATGTTGAATCAATTAAGGTGCGTGTGTAGCCTGTAGAATCAGATTGTAATGTATCACTTTCACGCTTATATCAGTTATGATTGGCGTCCCAGATGATTTTGCGCAACATGTGTCTCCATCATGCTGGTGCCGTTGGGTTTGGCCTCGTAAACCCTCCATTTTGCCCAAAGCCAGAGTGGTGAGGAGGAGCGGTTTACGTTCTTCTTTATTCTTAGATGAGGTTTAACGGCGGTTGGCATCCAATAAATGTTGCATTACCGCCACCTACAAGACTGGAGTACAACTCCCTAATACTTTGCCAAGAGTGTGCAAAGCTGTCATCAAGGCAAAGGGTGGCAATTTGAAGAATCTCAAATATAAAATATATTTTGATTTGTTTAACACTTTTTTGTTTACTACATGATTCCATATGTGTCATTTCATCGTTTTGATGTCTTCACTATTATTCTACAATGTAAAAAATAGTAAAAAATAAAGTAAAACTCTTGAATGAGTATGTGTGTCTTTTGACTGGTAGTGTACATCCCTTGTTGGCCTATATCCCTCTGTACTGGTACAGATCTACTACTCACACCACTCCTCTCAGGATCCCTCCCCCTTGACCCATCTTCCTCTACTTTCTTCAATGCCTCGGCATATGACAACTTCTGCACTAGTCTAACCCTGAAAACCTCAACCTGCTCCTCACGCAAACGGACAGAAAACCGTAGCATTCAAGGCATTGACAGCGAGATGACAGCAGAAAATTAGGACATGTTCATTGGGACAATTGAAGTGAAACAGAGTGAAGTACAATGTAGCTCAGCTAGTGAATATCAATGAGAAAAATACTGAGAAAGAGCAGTGGACAGAAACACTGAAAATAAACAACCAGAAACGTACTGTTACGCTGGATACAGGAGCTGAGTGTAAAGTCTTGTCCACCAGAGACTTGAAAACGCTTAAAGTGAAAGTGAGTGGAGATTCCATGCAAAAATCCAACCGCATACTAGTCACATATTCTGGCCACCAGATGGAGCCAAATGGCAAGAAAACACTCAAATGTCAAGACAAAAAGTGTTTGAACTGGAATTTAAAGTGATAGAACAAGATGCACCTGCAATACTTGGAAGATCAGCTTTTCTGCAAATGGGCTTAATACAAAGAATATTCAAGCTTGAACAAAACACATTTGGAGGGAATATGAAGATTTATTCACAGGACTTGGATGTGTTCCAGTAGTTCATCACATACAAATAGACCTAGAAGTCACACCAGTGATTCACTCCCCCAGAAAAGTTCCTGTAGCACTAAAAGAAAAACTTGAAAAGGAACTGAACTGAATGGAAAAGATGGATGTCATCGTCAAGCAAACTGAGCCTACTGAATGGGTAAACAGCTTGGTGACAATCGTGAAGCCAAACAAAATATGGGTATGCATGGTCCCACAGGATCTAAACAAAGCCGCCAAGAGAGAACATTATCCTTTACGTACCATTGAAGAGGTAGTTGCTAAAATGCCTAACGTTAAGGTATTTTCAGTTGTTGATGCAAACCAAGGATTCTGGCAAATCCAACTGGATGAAGAGAGCTCCCGACTCTGCAAATTCAATACGCCGTATGGGAGGTGTTCATTCAAGAGACTGCCGTTCGGAATTGCGTCCGCTCCAGAGGTGTTCCAGAGGTGCCTCGCCCAGCATTTGGAAGGTCTGGAAGGTGTCGTAAACATCATGGATGACATTCTTGTCTGGGGTGATGACACAGAGCAGCACGACCGGAGACTGAGACAGCTACTAGATAGACTGAGAAGCATCAACTTGAAACTGAATAAGGACAAGTGCAAAATCAGAATGACAGAAATTCGCTACATTGGACGTGTTAAGCAAAGAAGGCCTGAAACCAGACTCTGCAAGATACTGCAACATTCCCATGGATCTCTGAAGCGCTGCTTTGTCCTCTGGCATTTCTTGTATTGCTCTGACCTTTTCAGAGTTCATCCCAAATCTCTCAGATGTCAGCGCACCACTGAGACAACTGCTGGAAGGAGACATTCAGTGGCACTGGGAGTCTGCACAGGAACAGAGTTTCAGAATCTTGAAAACACTAGTCAGCAATGCGCCAGTGTTAAAGTACTACGATGTGCAAAGACCAGTGACACTATCTGTGGATGCAAGCTCAGAAGGCTTGGGAGCTGTGATCCTGCAAGATGGTCAGTCAATCGTGTATGAGTCATGGTCCCCTCACAGACTGTCAAAAGAGATATGCTCAAATGGAAAATTAGCTACTGGCGATAGTGCATGGCTGCGAGAAGTTTCATCAATACCTGTATGGAAAACAGATCCAGTTGGAGTCAGACCACAAGCCCTTGGAAACAATCTTCAAGAAGTCGCTCCAGAAAGCACCAGCCAGACAACAGAGAATGCTGATGAAACTACAGAGATAGCGTCTACATGTGACATACAAACCAGGAAAGGAGATGCGCATCGCTGATGCATTGAGCCGAGCACACCTGAAGGAACAGAGAGAGAAATTGCGGGATGTAAACTACATCGCTCGTCAACTTCCTGTTTCAGAAGAGAAACTGCAGCAATTCAAAACAGCAACAGCAGAAGATGAAGAGTTAAAGACTGGTCACAGAAACAGTTTAAAAAAAGGATGGCCATACACGAGAGGGAAAGTTACAACAACAACAAAAATACTTCACTACTGGACCTTCAGAGAGGACTTGACATACTCAGATGGACTATCAATCAATCAAATGTATTTATGAAGCCCTTTTTACATAAGCAGATGTCACAAAGTGCTTATACAGAAACCCAGCCTAAAACCCCAAACAGCAAGCAATGCATGGCTAAACAGACATGGCTAAGCAGACATGGCTAAACAGATTGAAGGACTACGATACAATAACAACAACCAAAGAGAGCCGCTCCATTCTCATCCCAGAGAGAGCTTGGGCCAAAGTTGGAGTGGACCTCTTCCATTACAACGACACAGAATATCTACTATGTGTGGATTACTATTCAAAATAGCCAGAAATCTCCAAGTAAACACATAATTACAGCACTAAAGTCGATCTATCTTTGCAAGGCATGGGGTGCCCGATGTTTTGTGCTCCAACAATGGAAGACAGCTGGTGAGTCAAGATATGTCAGAGTTCTCTACCAGCTGGGAGTTCAAACATGGCACGCCCTAGATTTGGATTTGATCTCAATACAGTTTTCTGTTCCCAAAACTAGAATTTGTTACGAACAGAGTGGACTAAGTTTAGAAGGAAGGCAAGGGCGAATTGAGTTATTTCACACGCGCACTTCACAGAGTAGGCATTTTCTAACGGAAATATGCAAAAAAGGGCTGGTGTTTTGTGTAGGCTTACCCTGGCATGACGTTTTGATAACTGTGTAAATCTCTCTAGGACACGATTACTTTTATCAATGTATTCGCCTGTATTTACCCCCCAAAAATGAAATGCTAATTAGTTGCTAATGTGTCTATCATAAAGAACTACAAACACTATGATGAACTGGACGAGACTGCCGAATCGAGGCAAAGGTGAGAATCTCTGGATTATCTATCTAATGTTAGCTACATTTTGTAATTAATAAATTGGCTACATTTCTTTAAACTGACAATTCTGTGAACTTTGCTTTTTTTTATTTTATTCTTGTGCAAGTTTTAAATTGACACAATACCTATTAGCAAAGCTGCCAGCTAGAGATGACGTGCAGGAGCTTGCAGGGATTTGTAGTCTTACATGATGTCTACTTTGATGCTAATTAGCATTTTCGAATCTGAGAGTACATAGAGCCGAATATATTGATAAACGTGACCTTGTCCTAGAGAGATTTACATGGTTATCAAAATGTTATGCCAGGGTAAGCCTACACAAAACACAGCCCTTATTTTAAGGGTTTCTAAAACTCCCTATGGGGAAAATGAATGGTGGAAAAACGATTGGAACCATTTCCCTGTTTGACCATTGGTTTTATGGGTATTATGACACCTCCACTGTGGGGCGCTATAGGGAAATTAATGGAATTTTTGTAGGATTTTTGGATAAATGCCGAAAATAAGGTCTGTGGTAAACACAGGCTTAGGAGATTTTATACGTTTTGTTCTATCAGATAATCTACATCAGCTAACCTCACTTGAGGCGTCACTACAGACCTCCTGGTTCGATTCCAGGCTGTATCACAACCGGCCGTGATTGGGAGTCCCATAGGGCGGTGCACAATTGGCCCAATTGGCCCTCTGTAGGCCGTCATTGTAAATAAGAATTTGTTCTTAACTGACTTGCCTAGTTAAATAAAGGTAAAAATAAAATAAAAAATCATTTCTGGTTTTTAGGACTACAAACTGGCGAACTCTATTGAATACTCCTCGCGTCTTCGCCTCCTTCTCAAAACCCATTGGATGAGAAGTTCAGAGGGGCCGGACCTCTGGTTTTCTCATCCAATGGGTTTTGAGAAGGACTCGAGGAGTCTGCAATTGAGATTCTCCCACGGACATGATGTGCTCAGGCACATACACATTGCATAATCTGTCTAGATGGAGTACAGCTATGACCGGAAGTTACTTTTCGTGGCAGGTAAGGAGAGCATTTTAGCTAACCCTAACCTTTAGGGGGGGGGGGGGGGGGTCCATATGGGGAGGGGGGGATGTCCATAGGGGGGAGTAGCAGGGGGGGGTCCATATGGGGAGGGGGGGGAAATGTCCATAGGGGGAGTAGAGGGGGGGTCCATAGGGGGAGTAGCAGGGGGGGTCCATATGGGGGGGGGGGGGGATGTCCATAGGGGGAGTAGAGGGGGGGGTCCATAGGGGGAGTAGCAGGGGGGGGTCCATATGGGGAGGGGGGGGGGGGATGTCCATAGGGGGAGTAGAGGGGGGGTCCATAGGGGGGAGTAGCAGGGGGGGGGTCCATATGGGGCGGGGGGGGAAGGGGAATGTCCCATAGGGGGGGGTAGAGGGGGGGGTCCATAGGGGGAGTAGCAGGGGGGGTCCATATGGGGAGGGGGGGTGAAATGTCCATAGGGGGGGTGGGTGGGGGGGGGGGGGTCCATAGGGGAGTAGCAGGTGGGGGGGGGGGTCCATAGGGGGGGGGGGTGTCCATAGGGGGAGGGGTCAGGAAGGGGGGGTCCATAGGGGGGGTAGAGGGGGGGTCCATAGGGGGGAGGAGGGGGGGTCCATAGGGGGGGGTAGAACACATAAAATGTCACTCTGTGATAAGAGTCACTGACTCAAAGCCACAAGAGGTTAGAACATATTTCAAACGTTGCTTGTTAGAGGGAGGTAGTTGCAGAAACGTTGGAATGGTGATCTTCCTGGCCTTCCTTGACAACTGGTGTTGGTGTCCTGTAGGACTGGCAGTGTGTACCCAATGGTGCGTTCGGCTGCACGTATCACCTTCTGAAGAGCCCTGCGGTCCGCGGCGGTGGAGTTGCCGTACCAGGCTGTGATGCAGCCAGACAGTATGCTCTCAATGGTGTTCCTGTAGAACCCTGTGGGGCCCTCAGGGACAGGCCAAATTCCTTCAGCATCCTGTGTTTGACGAGTCGCTGTCGTGCGTTCTTCACTACGGTGTCTGTGTGGTTAGACCATTTCAGCTTCTCTGAGATGTGTACGCAGAGGAATTAGAAGTTATTGACCATCTCCACGGCGGCCCTGTTGATGAGGATGGTGGCTTGTCCAGCCTGGTTCCTCCTGAAGTCCACAATCAGCTCCTCTGTTTTGCTAACGTTGAGGGAGAGGTTGAGGGAGAAGTTGTTCTTGATAACTCATGTAGATATTTGCTATGTTTTATTTGAATGAAAAACACCATGATATATGAGTTGTGGTTTTGTAGGTGATCAGAGATGAGGGGACTGGGTTAGAAACAGTTCTTATTCAGTAAAATGTCCTTATGATTCATGCATCAAATACTGTATATTAACTGTAGTTACACTTGTCAACAGTAGATGGTGACAATGTATTTATGGCCTGTTTAACCTACAGCCTGTAGCTGTCTGAGTTGAGCTACAGCTGTTATCATTTTGAATCTCTCTTAACTTCCCTGTAGGAGATGATTGGTCATATGCAGAGCTATGAATTAGTTAGGCCAATGACGAGTAGGCCTAGCCTATAACGTATTTCTGTATTTAAAATATAATGAAAGCCAAAGGAAATTCTGATCACAAATACATAGGCTAGCCAACACACATCATTTCTTTCTGCAATCCCCTATATAGGTTTTCATCAAGGTAAGAGCTTCTAATCTTTGTCTAGTAGACCAATATCTAATACAATTGGCATAACATATTTCTCGGCATATGGTATCCTAATCTTTGAGTTAAAGGGAAAACATAATTTAGGCCTATGACTTTTGTGACACAACGTGACTTCGTAGTCTAACTGGCCCGCCAACGCAATTCTTTCTCTCTCTGTTTGGAAAAATCCATCATAATCAATAATGTAATCCCGAAGAACTAGGGTAAACCCAGGTTTTTCTCCGAAAGAAAATGTAGGCCTACCTACCTAGACTAATTATTGTAGGCTATAAATGATTCAATTCCAATCATATAGCAAATATTGATTTTATTCAGTTAAATTCTTCAATTCAGTTGCTTCCCATTCCGTTGTATAGATTCTAGAACACCCACTAGGTGTTCGTCTCGCTCTCTGTCTCAGGTCCAGCATGGATAAATTCAGAGACGAAGACGTTTCTGACGGATGTCCTGTCAGCGGACCCCAGTCACATCCTTCAGCATGTAGACGAGCAGAAACTGGTAACTTTACACGAATACAGGAATCTGCACATCTTCAGTAAATCAGCCCCGGATGATTCTATCATCCGTTTGCTGGATACACTCATCAGTAAGAACGGTGTGACCTGAGGTAAATCCTGAGGTAAATCCTGAGGTAAATCCTGAGGTAAATTCCTGGCCCTGTAACATCAGCCAGACATCCGAACTACTTTCGCCAGACTGAAGAAAAGCAAACTGATGAGGTGTTATGCACTATTTTTATATAACGTAGCCACTATTCAATATCACAATAATTTAAAATCTTGTTGGGGGGTCTTTTAAAAGTTTTGTGTTTCAACTTCTGTTTTTTTTGTATGTACGTTGGTTGTTGTCTATGCTGCTCAAATAATGTCTTAATTAGAGCATAATACCGTTTTCTAATGTAATAACAACAACGATATTGCCCCGGCACCCAGCAACCCCAAACGCGGTGCCAACCACATCCTCCACAGTCCACACCCCAGGCCCAACCACAGGCCTCATTACCATACATACTGATTGAATCATGAACTATGTGTGCCGTTAGTAGAATTGTACATGAAATGTCTGACACAATTTTTTTGCCCTTGGAAGCCCCAATGGATAGACACACCATTATCATCGAGGACCACCAACGAGAACCACTTTGTAAACAAGTGTTTTAATGCACATCTTACTGTATGATTTTACCAGATACATTCATTTTAATTTGTGAAGGGTTACACATCAAGTAACAAAGAATGTAAACTAGAGGACTCTATCGGCCATTAACTTTGAGGCAAAACCTTATGGACTAATAAATGACATTATTGTTGTATTATTGTTTTTGTTAGGTTCAAACCTTCCAACTACTACTCTCCTATGAAAAATAAAAACCCTGGGAAGACGTCGATGAAGACATCACCTGGGGGAAAGACTGAGAAAAACCACAGCATGTGGATACATCAAAGTTGAAGACAGGGGCCCAGGGGAAATACTTCCAAGCAGTTCTACAGCAAGCGGTTAGGCCGATGGACATTCTCATTTTGGAACCAGAGCAACGAAAACGTTTTTCAGGAGCCGAGAAGAGAGGGTAAATCAAACAGTATAATAAGCTTGATCGTGTCTGGTTTATAGTATAATAAGCTTGATCGTGTCTGGTTTATAGTATAATAAGCTTGATCGTGTCTGGTTTATAGTATAATAAGCTTGATCGTGTCTGGTTTATAGTATAATAAGCTTGATCGTGTCTGGTTTATAGTATAATAAGCTTGATCGTGTCTGGTTTATAGTATAATAAGCGTGATAGTGTCTGGTTTATAGTATAATAAGCTTGATCGTGTCTGGTTTATAGTATAATAAGCTTGATCTTGTCTGGTTTATAGTATAATAAGCTTGATCGTGTCTGGTTTATAGTATAATAAGCTTGATCTTGTCTGGTTTATAGTATAATAAGCTTGATCGTGTCTGGTTTATAGTATAATAAGCTTGATCTTGTCTGGTTTATAGTATAATAAGCTTGATCGTGTCTGGTTTATAGTATAATAAGCTTGATCGTGTCTGGTTTATAGTATAATAAGCTTGATCTTGTCTGGTTTATAGTATAATAAGCTTGATCTTGTCTTGTTTATAGTATAATACGCTTGATCGTGTCTGGTTTATAGTATAATACGCTTGATCGTGTCTGGTTTATAGTATAATAAGCTTGATTGTGTCTGGTTTATAGTATAATAAGCTTGATCGTGTCTGGTTTAATTAGTATAATAAGCTTGATAGTGTCTGGTTTAAGTATAATAAGCTTGATCGTGTCTGGTTTTACAGTATAATAAGCTTGATCGTGTCTGGTTTACAGTATAATAAGCTTGATCTGTCTGGTTTACAGTATAATAAGCTTGAATCGTGTCTGGTTTTACAGTATAATAAGCTTGATCTGTGTCCTGTTTATAGTATAATAAGCTTGATCTTGTCTGGTTTAAGTATAATAAAGCTTGATCGTGTCTGGTTTATAGTATAATAAGCTTGATCTTGTCTGGTTTATAGTATAATAAGCTTGATCGTGTCTGGTTTATAGTATAATAAGCTTGATCGTGTCTGGTTTATAGTATAATAAGCTTGATCTTGTCTGGTTTATAGTATAATAAGCTTGATCTGTCTGGTTTATAGTATAAAGCTTGATCTGTCTGTTTATGTACATAAGCTTGATCGTTTCTGGTTTATAGTCCAATAAGCTTGATCGTGTCCTGGTTTATATAGTACAAAAAGCTTGATCGTGGTCTGGTTTATAGTATAATAAGCTTGATCGTGTCTGGTTTATAGTATAATAAGCTTGATCGTGTCTGGTTTATAGTATAATAAGCTTGATCGTGTCTGGTTTATAGTATAATAAGCTTGATCGTGTCTGGTTTACAGTATAATAAGCTTGATCGTGTCTGGTTTACAGTATAATAAGCTTGATCGTGTCTGGTTTACAGTATAATAAGCTTGATCGTGTCTGGTTTACAGTATAATAAGCTTGATCGTGTCTGGTTTATAGTATAATAAGCTTGATCGTGTCTGGTTTATAGTATAATAAGCTTGATCGTGTCTGGTTTATAGTATAATAAGCTTGATCGTGTCTGGTTTATAGTATAATAAGCTTGATCGTGTCTGGTTTATAGTATAATAAGCTTGATCGTGTCTGGTTTATAGTATAATAAGCTTGATCGTGTCTGGTTTATAGTATAATAAGCTTGATCGTGTCTGGTTTATAGTATAATAAGCTTGATAGTGTCTGGTTTATAGTATAATAAGCTTGATCGTGTCTGGTTTATAGTATAATAAGCTTGATCGTGTCTGGTTTATAGTATAATAAGCTTGATAGTGTCTGGTTTATAGTATAATAAGCTTGATCGTGTCTGGTTTATAGTATAATAAGCTTGATCGTGTCTGGTTTATAGTATAATAAGCTTGATAGTGTCTGGTTTATAGTATAATAAGCTTGATCGTGTCTGGTTTATAGTATAATAAGCTTGATCGTGTCTGGTTTATAGTATAATAAGCTTGATCGTGTCTGGTTTATAGTATAATAAGCATGATCGTGTCTGGTTTATAGTATAATAAGCTTGATCGTGTCTGGTTTATAGTATAATAAGCTTGATCGTGTCTGGTTTATAGTATAATAAGCTTGATCGTATCTGGTTTATAGTACAGGTGTAATATTGACTGTCTGTCTCTTTCTTCAGTAAAGTTGAAAGGAATCTCATTCGAGAAACTTGGAGTAAACAAGTACAAAGAGGGGATAAAGTTCACAAACAAATCCAAATTGACTTTCATGAAAGGGAAAAAGACTACAGATGGAACCCACTGCTGAGAAAATATAAGAAACATTTTGATTAATGGTGTTAGACCAACTGTCTGTCAGAACATGCTCTCTCTCACCGACTGTGACAGTGTGGCGTTCAATGTCCAGACCAGAGGCAATTAATGAATTACCTACATTGTGTAAATACACGTTTTATTTTAAGTAGCCATTAGAGCGCCACAGTGATACCAATCATTAGAAAGGAAATTGAGTAGCTACAGGTCGACTGTGTATTAGCCTATAGTTTGAAATAATTATTCCAACATAGCATGTAGCCTAGTGCGGTCTACACAGTGCATTGGGCAAAACAACCTGCATTTTAAACCTTACTTTGCTTCTTAATGTTCATTTAGTAGCCAGCTCCACCTCTGGGCAGCCAACTTATTTCCATAGCAGGCTGTGTTCGTGATACTATATAACCTATTAGTAACCGAATACATCGGAATGTAATAATTGCTTTTGAAATGTGTACTTTTAGACAAATATTACCCCGATTTGGTCTAGTCCTTTACTCTTTCAGCCCTGTGAAGTGGCCACTTGTCATCTAGAATGACTTGTTTTTAAAATAGTCACGTGGTTGTCATCCATGGTACACTGCACGTGCCCCGGCCTCGGTCTTTCTGAGCAGAGTCCAATGATGTATAAACACAATAGCCTTGTCCCATAGTGTGGCAATGGGTACTTCCAGTTGTTCATGGCCCTTATTCAGTAGTGCTAACGCTGATGTTCTTGCAGTTCAGTCGTTAGTAGATACCAAGGTATTTGGTGGCATCCTCAGACGACGGAGTACTTTACCTGTGGGGCTTCTTTTGAACAAACAGAACACACAAATCACTCATGGCCCCCAAATATGTTACATCCATAGGCTACTGTATATTAGTTTACTGGTATATTATTACTCAAATTATAAATCAGCAAACGCTTGGAAACAAAATAAATAAGCAAAGAGAAGGACAATGGAGAGAAACAAGTTAGGGAGACAGACACTGGGGAGTTTGTAAATGTTGTCACAACACTGGACAGGCACTGGGACTACACAACACACAGACACATTGAATATTAGGGGGAAATGGTTTAATTTTGGAGACAGAGGCAAAGAAACACCACACATAAACAAACATTTACCAAATAAAACACTCTGATTTCCAACTACACACCACTGCTTCTATGGGAAAAATAGAAATATCTACCGACAGGTAAAAAGGAAAAAGCCCAGAAACTAAAACAAATTATTAACTTTCTATTAAACTAAGACATTTATCTATCCATACAAGTTGTCTATAATAAGCCCAGATGGTCATTTTTAATAACCACGTGGACTGCGAGCACAGCACTAACATGAAACTGACCAAGGTTTTAGAGGATCCCCACCCCCCAAAGTAGAAACTGAATAAAGTAGTGAGGAACGTGTAGAAAGCAAGTTAATGAAATCAAAATGAAGGTTATTTATTTAAGAAACAAAAACGTACTACCAGAAATGTTATCATTGACGACCATCAAGAAGCCAAACTCAACACTATCACATTCAAGGCCTTATAGAGAGGACAGACATTTTTTTTTCCAATATATATTTTTTTCTTTAATTATTTCCAATATAAAAAAAAAGCTTCACTGGTACAAAATACATATGCACAGCCAGTATTGTAGAAATTGGAAAGAGCCAGTTTTTTCGTCATTTCGTTTTTTTCAAATCCCACCCAAGTTTCAAAGGTTTAATTAAAAACAGAAAATCACTACTGTAATAATGTTTTACAGATAAGATCAACATGAAGATGCACCACGACTTTGGCTTTTCTCAAGACAACACAAACATCTATCAAATAATTTATGTGGAGAAGAACATGAACAAAGTCGTCCTATCAATTATGAATCATCAGATAAGACAAATGGTACAGAAAGAGGACAGAGATGTTTGACCAAGACAACATCTAAGAGAAGCAAAGCTACCACTCACTTAGCACTTCAGAGTATGAGAGAACAGAAAAACCGTGACCAGTGATAGAGATACTGAGTGAAGTCCCAAGTGGCACCGTATTTCCCTGCATAGTGCACTACTTTTGAACAGATTCATAGGCCCTGGTCAAAAGTAGTGCACTATGTAGGGAAATACGGTGCCATTTGGAATGAGTAATTAAAAATGAATGTTGTGACGGAAGCCCCCGAAGTGAGTTTCTAGCTCCTATACCCTGACCCATGTGTGATTTTATATTGTGCTTATATTTCAACATTTACGGTAACACTTTACAATACAGTTGTATAACTACCCATTATAATCAATTAAATATTTACTAACATTTGTTAACAGTTCGTTGTAGCCTACATACCAAATTGTTTTACAAACGGTCTTATAGTTAATGTTAATAACATGCCACACTTCCCAGGTTTTGGTTGATGTGAAAAAGGATATTACTATTCTATAATCAATATACAATAACATTACCATTTTACCTGACAACTAGGCATTCATATTATATCAATACACTGTCTGTGACCGTACCGCAAAGCACTCAACTTTGTCCACTCACTAACAGGGGGATTTGTCTTCAAAAGGTTTAGGGTGTTTATTGTACAATAATAATATTCACAAATTACTTGCCAATGTGTTAAAATTCAGTAAATCACGTACCATTTGAACCAATAACGCGACACAAAGTGGAAAACAACACATCAGCGGGTGATTTAGCCTTCATGACACACTGGTATCTATATTATAACAAAAGCAAACTGAGCGTTCCTAACTGCAGCATATCTCTAGTCCTTAAACCAAGGCCTACTAGCATCTGGATAGGCAGTTTCTAGACATATGGCACTGACTTTTGTATTGCATTTGGATAGAAAAACGCACTGCAGAAAGCACATTCTCCATCATAGTCAACATAAAATATTGTTTATTAGTGGTACCTTGGTAGTTCTGGGAAGTGCCACCAACCCATGCTTCAAAAACAAACAGATTAGCAAAAAAATGTACATTTCCCCCAATATTATATAACGGACAAAATCAAAAATCACTCCCATTCAACAGACACTTCAAAACTCCTCAGGTGCTGCTAGAACCTCCTAGATAAAACGGGTGCCATCTTGGGTGATTTGTAAGTTTAAAAAAAAACTAAACAAAAACGGCAAAAAAAAAAATGCATTTTGTGGCTTGTTAATCCCAAATCTGTTGAGAAAGACACGGTAGGCAGTGCTTGCATCTTCCACACACAGCTGAATCTCAAACACAAAGGACCCTGAGTTGACAACCCTTGTTTAGCGCCTTCTGGGTCGTATTCATAAAGCGTATCAGAGTAGGAGTGCTGAACTAGGATCAGTTTTCGACTTTGTATCATATAAATGAATAAGATTACATGAACAGGGGGGGACCTGATCCTAGACGCTTTGTGAATATGGGACCAAGTACGCATGTTTTTGGGGAACCTTTCTTTGGGGGCGGTGATCGAGATGCAGGGGCTGGATGTAAATTATTTGAGCTGTCCCATCATCTTTTCAGTACAACTGACAGAAAGTAGGCTAGTCCATTATCATCCAATAAAGACACTTCTGATCTGAGTAGTAAACTTTATGCCGAAACATGGAATGCTTTTGTAAACCAACACTTTTGGTGGGGGGGGTAGGTTCAGCAGTGTTAACACATAGATACTGTGTGACCGTTTTGAATAGAAAATTACTTTTTTTCTTCTTAAACGTGTGATTTCAACTATCTTGTCACCAACAAATACATTGTGTGTGTGTGTGTGTGTGTGTGTGTGAGAGAGAGAGATCGAATAAACATTCCCCTGTGTGCGATTTCACGTTCAGGGGCTCCCAGTGTTCTTACTGTCACAGAACAGAGTGTGTGTTTGAGGAAAATTGGGCACTCACATGAAAGCATATTGTAAGAACTTAAAAAACACTGAGTTTGACACATGGGCACTTTAAACAAAAACGCCTCGTCTGTCTTCTGTGGTAATGGACATTATCTTGCAATATGAGGCATCCATACTAGACAAAAACATCAATTTCTGAAATTAATTCTCAACAAGAAATTCACAAAAAATTCTCAAGACCTTAAGAATTTAACACTAAATTTAAACTATTTTATTTTAATGTAGGAAAAAAAATGAAAATCAAAATGTAGTCAATATATTCCCCAAGATGAGACAATGACAATCTACTTAACTGATGTGTCCACCCCCCCAAAAAATACATTTTTGCAGAGGTTAAAATAGCAAATAACCCAGAAAGGAATTCTGACAACACATGTAAGTAACATCACCACTAGTAAATTAGTTTTTTTTTTTGAAAGGCTGTGTTGTGTTGATCGAGCAAACAGATTTTTTTTTGTTGTTGTCCCACTTAAAAATGGAATACACTTAAAGACCCTAGATGACGTTACAACATAATCTACAAAAGAACCCCAAAGTTAACCTGGGTTTCTGTTTTACTTAGCTTTAAACTTCTATAGATTCAATGGTATAAAATATAGGTAATCTAAGTGTGCATTTAAACCACAGATTGTCTATTTGTGAATCAGTTCTAAAAAAGTTCAGACTCATGTAGGTAGTCATTTCCCCTAGTAATCAAGAGCAAATCTACCTCTATTGTGCCGTCAATATTTTTGAAAAAATAAAGCAAAATAGGTAAATACACATATTTTCGTTAATGAAAGCCAAGAGTCTCTTTTTAAACAGCCTTGGTGACAAAATGGAAAATGTGAAAAACCTAAACAGAGCACTGAGGGGCATTCTGGTTGATAATCAGACTTGTTTTTAAAAGTGTTGCGAGTCAAGTGGTCTTAGGGTGCGCGTCTGAAATGGAACCCTATTCCCTACATAGTGCACTACTTTTGACTAGAGCCCAGGGCCCGGGTCAAAAGTGGTGCGCTACATTGGAGATGGGGTGCGATTTTGGACACAGCATTATTTTGTTGTTTCAGAAGCAGACATATTGCTAATGGCACAAAGCAGCACAGCACTGTGCTAGTCCCTGTATTCAAACTTTCAAGTGAACTTTATACTGAGAGAGAAGAGGTAAAAAGAAACAAGCAACAGAAACAAGCAAATTACAAAATAATAAAAAAAAAAACAATCCCACAGGCTTTTAAAACAAGTTTTTTTTTTTTTTTGCATTCGCAAGTTTTTTTTTACAAATTCAAAGTATTTTAAATGAAATGACCGCAGGTAAGATTTCACATTGATTTTGCTTGACCGACCTCCCCTCACATTTGATACAGGAAAAAACAAACAAAAAGTTACATGCAAAAAAATCAGGACTGTATCCAAAATGACAGCATATTCCCTATATAGTGCAGTAATTTGCACTGGTCAAAAAGGCTCTGGCCAGAAGTAGTGCATTGTATAGGTAACTGGGTGCCATTTTGGACGCACCCAATCATGTTGAGCTAAGGTCAAATGTCATAGGTCAAAAGGTCAGCGGGGTGTGTGGCCAGGTAGCCTATTGGTCAGGTGAGCTTTAGAGCGGCATCAAAGAGCCAATGGTGGGAGGATGATGAGGAGTAGCCGGGAGGAAGAGGAGTTTGGAGTTGGCTTTCAACACCATGAGGACATGCTAGGCTAACGATGAGCAAACAGGCATGAAGATTTGTTCTAAAAAAAAGGGAAGAAAAAAACACGAGGATGTAGAGAGATGTAGGAGAGAGGAGAGAGTAGAGAGATGTAGAGATGTAGAGAGAGGAGAGAGATTGTAGAGAGAGAGAGAGAGGAGAGAGATTGTTGTAGAGAGAGAGATGTAGAGACGAGAGAGAGGAGAGAGAGAGCGAGAGAGATGTAGAGAGAGCAGAATGTATGAGAGTAGAGAGGAGATTGTAGAGAGGGAGATGTAGGAGAGAGAGAGAGGAGGAGAGGGGAGAGCGATGGAGAAGCGAGACGAGATTGAGATAGAGCAGAGTGAGCTAGAGGAGAGATTTAGAAGACGAGGAGAGGAGCAGAGTGAGCAGAGAGAGAGCGTGAGGGTTACGGAGAGAGCCGGAGCAGATGTCGAGAGCAGATTGAGATGTAGAGCGAGAGAGAAGAGGAATGTAGAGGAGGCAGAGAGAGCGTGGACGGCGAGAGAGGAGACTGTGAGCGAGAGTGAGCAGAGCAGGAGACGCGAGAAGACGAGAGGAGAGACGTAGAGAGCAGACGAGAGAGGAGATGAGGAGCGAGACGTAGACGAGTGAGAGGCTGAGAGAGAGAGGAGAGAGAGAGACGAGACGCAGAGAGTAGAGAGAGAGCGGAGAGGATGTAGAGAGAGAGAGCAGATGTAGAGAGAGAGAGAGAGAGAGTTGAGAGAGGAGAGAGGGAGAGAGAGGGGAGAGAGGAGAGTAGAGAAGAGAGAGAGAGAGAGAGAGATGTGAGGAGAGAGAGAGAGAGAGAGAGAGATGTAGAGAGAGAGATGTAGAGAGAGATGTAGAGAGAGAGAGAGAGAGAGAGAGAGAGAGAGAGATGTTGAGAGAGAGAGATAAGTTAGACAGAGCCACAGCACAAGAACCTTTCAACCATGAGGCACAATCAACCAACAACTGCCAGTCACCACACATAGCATTAACTGCAAATCGGGGATGATCTTTCCCCACACACAAAACAATACACAGGTTTGACACAGGAAATGACATCACCAGATTAGGAAATGACATCACTAGATGTATGGTAGAGAGACTCAGACATACACTGATCCATCTCCAGTCAGTCCCTTTAGGGAAGACTTGGACAGACGGATGGAATGATTGGAAGAAGTTAATTAAGAAAGAGCGATGAGAGCAGAGGTAGCCCCAGCAGCTTGACATGGCTTAGATTAAGAGAGAAAGAATGCGAGAAAAAGGTGGAAGCAGAGAGAGAGTAAAGTAAACAGGAGCTTCACATAGAGATCAATATGCGACAGACTGAAGACCAAAAGCTCAGAAAATCTGACAGAATCAAGCCTGTGTGTCTGATTCTTAGTCAACCTGTATTTTAAACCTTGTAGAGGTAATGAAACCGTATGATCCCTCTTTTATATCACACGACACAAAAAGACTCCCTTGAACATTGGCTCCATCGATAGCTATAAATAATCATATAAATTATAACACTTTATACGACTCAAAAATGACACGATGAAACTGTGAAAGGAATGGATGGGTGTAATAATAAACATTGTAGAGAGATAAGATCGTAACGTTAAAGAGAATAATCGTCGACGACCCCCCCTGTGGTGAGAGTTGGTATGACACCCACAGCCCCTTTCCACCATACCCCAGTGAAATAAGTCTCTGCTGTGGCGATCGGGTGGCCTCGGCTCTAGTCGTGGGTTGGCTAGCTGGTTGGGTAGACTTAGACTTACCCTAGCATTGCTAACACAGAGCCAGGGGGAAGGCCCCTGCCCTGGGTACGATCAGTAGGGTTTGCTGTCGTTCTTGGAGCGCTTCAGCTGCACCTTGAGCCTCTTCATGCCGATCTGGAAGCCGTTCATGGCCTGGATGGCGGCCTGCGCCGACACCGGATTGTCGTAGCTGACGAACCCTGAGGAATGGACGAGAGAAAGGTAAATACTAGTAAACAGCTATTAAAGTTATATTAAGCATGCAAGTTAGCGAGAGAGCTGTGTCTGTGGTAAACTAAACTCTTATGTAAGCAATAAAACATTGATCTATGCATTTTAGAATTGGAGCAACAAAAAGAGAACACTTCTGGAATTTTACGATGGCCTGTATCTATCCATCCATCTATCTCTATGCTCATGTTTAGGGGGTCGAAGACGACCATACGTACCGAAGCACTTGCTCAGATTGGTCTGTTTGTCAATGAAGACTTTGGCAGAGACGACGTTTCCAAAAGGCATGAACATCTGAAGGACATCCTGGTCTCCAAACTCCTGGGGCAGGTGATATATGAACAGGTTAGCCCCCTCAGGACCTGTGGGAAGAGAGGAGAGAGAGACTAAGGTCAATGGAGGATACATTTTGACAGATCAAGAAACACCAAAGCACACCTACGGCCATCAGACTGACCTGGGTTCAAAACAGTATTTGAAATCTTTCCAATACTTAAATCGAGCTCGCCTAGCGCAATGGAATAGTCCCAAAAGTGCAAAGACTGCCCAACTGGCACTCAAGGGCTCCCTGGTAAAATCTCCCATAGGTACAGATCTAGGACCAGTTTACCCTCCCCCAAACCTAACCGTAACCATTAGTGGGGTAAAAGCAAAACTGACCCAAGATTAAAGTTTAGGGGTTAACTTACCATACTCGTGGCAGGCTCAAGGAAATGCTCAAAGTATTTGAAAGAAAGCCAATACTACCTGAACCCAGGTGTGGTTAGTGTGACTGTGGACTGACTCACCCTCCTTCTGGCTCCTGGCTAAAGGAGCAATGAAGGAGAGGACGCAGTTTTTTAAAGTTTAATTTTTTTTTGAAAGAGAGAATGATGTGGTACTCAGTAAACATGCGACTCTGTGCCCTTCGGTTAATCTATTATCTTCTTTAAATGTCATACACCTTGTTAGGTGCCCAGCGCATATGGGCTTACAAGACACTCGGAAACACACACGTCAATTTAAAGGGATCCCAATGGAAATAAGTAATTTACTTTGTGTTATCCTAGACAAGCTTGAAATTGTATGTACTGTCCACATATGTTCGATTCCCACGGGGGAACCAGTACGAGAAAAAAAAGTATGAAAATGTATGCACTCACTACTATAAGTCGCTCTGGATAAGAGCGTCTGCTAAATGACTACAACACAAAACAATATTGGTAAATGGTGTGGCCTGAAACCCACCCTCCTTCTGGCTCCCGCCGGCTGCTCCCTGCAGTAGGGACTGGCTGTAGAGGGAAGGCAGGGCGGAGGCAGTGTACTGCTGCATCCCTGAGTAGGCCTGGGTCAGGGCATCCATGGAGCTCGCCCCAGAGCCGTTGGCCATCGAGGCCCCAAGGCCCCCGTTCATAGCAGCCATACCTAACACAGTAGACGGAAACATAGAATTTATTTTTGACAATTCAAAAATATAGATTATATCCACGCAAGTGGATACAACAGCCAGACAGGCTTTGACACCTAGTCCTTTCTACCGTACAGTAGGGCCGGGACGATACCAGTATCGCGATACTCATTATTAGTATTGTGGCAAGCAAACAAAACACGAAGCAGATTTAACTTATTTAGGAAAACAGCCCTAATGTTGGAAAGTAACATTTTGTTGTCATCTAGAGTCATATTGATTTATTTTCTGGCTATAGCACACTATATTATATACAGCAGGTTTTTAAAAGGACCAAAGAGTGGTCTGCTTCGTGTTTTCATTTTTGCCATGGGAAAAAAAAATAGTGCAATGCTGGTATCGTCCGGGCCCTACCGTACAGACTGGCATTCGTGTAGTCATACATTTGAGATTCAATAAGGACTATAGTGGCTGGGTTCCCAGACACCAGCCTGGTCCTGGACTAAAAACAGATTTTTTTATGGAGATTCTCCAAAGCATTCGTTTTGGTCCTGGACCAGGCAATCTGTGGCCGTGAAACCAGGCAGATATCTAAAGAAGCCTGATCACCAACAGAATGAAGGTATGATTTGAAAGACGGAAACAACAAACAGGGTTGAAGAAAAGGTAGTAAAGTCATGTTTTTTTTAGTGCGGTACTCACTCAGGGCGTACTCACCGCTGACCCCCCCAGTGAGGGCGTTGAGATTGTTGAGACCCATGGAGGCCCCTGCCAGGCCCCCGCCGAGGCCCTGGGTCAGGCCCAGAGAGGCCAGGGTGTTCATGGCTGCACCTGCGCTGGAACCTGCTGTCTGGCCTGCTGCTGGGGAGAGATCACCGTTAGGTAAACAGAGACTCACTCACTCCACAAACTAATCTATCAATTCAACTGATTAACTCACATAGTCGTAAGTAAATTAAAGATGACAAAAAGCAAATAAGCTATAGCGTATAGTGGTTCCCCAATAGGCGGCCTGCGGGCCGGTGAATTTATTTGGGAGGCCAAGTCTTATTTTATTATAGTTTTCGTTGTTGGAAATAAAATACAAAAATCACCAGGAAATGAGCTCAAAGTGATTTTAATTGAGGAAATCAATTCAAGTATTCCCACACATAAATAGAGGCATATGTGATCGTATCCCAATGTAATGAAGGATTGAAATTATTCTGTTTATCACAAATACAATATCGGTTTGGGATTGCAGTGTTATTTATAACTATGTTCCTGCCCTCCCGACCATCCGCTCAAGGAAAGATCTGCCCACAGCTGAATGTAACTGGGGACCTGTGGTGGATCGGATATAATCCAGGCAAAATGCAAATGAACGACACTTGTAGTTGTAATCTTTTGGTGGGTGGCGACTTTTTAATAACACAAAAGTAAAAATGAGAGAAACTGGGTTTGGACTACCTAGTGCTGTACCATATTTACCTGAGTTGTAGAGATTACCTAAAGCTCCGTTGGCTGACAGGGCGTTGGTGGAGCCGCCTGAGTTCTGGGCTGCAGAGGCGGCAGCAGCTAACGTGGCCAGGTTCTGCAGCTGCAGCTGGTTCACACCTGGAAGAGGAGACAGAGGGAGATGTTTAACGTCGTCCTCATTATAAGAAGTAATATTGTCATGATCAGCTAACATGGCTGGAACAGGGGAGGAGAGATAATTGATATACCTCGATAAATACAACTAAGAACAGATTCCTATTTGCAATGAAAACCGAGAGGGGGGAAATGGAGCTGCATCAGCTGTCCTTATGGGAGACCAGAAGAGTGGAATCATCGGCTTACAGAAGATGGCAAGAAGAAGCTGACTTCATATCATTGACATAACAGGAAAACAAGTGACCTTAGCACACTGCCTTGAGGCACTCCACAGGTTTTTGGATATTCACCCCTCTAAGTTTGTCCCCAGCAGACTTGTGTCTCCTAGAATAGCTACTCTGATTAATCTTCCCAACGATGATCTCATTCAAGGGTAAAGTGATGTTAGTAGTTGTGAAACTATGTGGGAGTGAAACACTGAGTCAGAAGGTTGTTTACATGAACAGTTGTCTGTTTGTTTAATCGAAGTGGGATGGAGTTATGGGGAACGGGAACAGGGACAGTGATTGACTCACCTCCTAGTCTCTGCATGCCACCAAAACTACTCTGGTTACCAAAACTACTCTGGTTACCAAAACTACTCTGGTTACTGGTAGCTGTCGCCTGTTGGAGCAACTGTGAAAGAAAGAGAAAGAGTGAGTTCTAGAACAATAGAACAAAAGGAGATACTTGTGCTCTTTCTCAATTAGTTTAGTCTTTCCATGATTCCTCGCGTCCTCTCTCCTCAAAACTCATTGGAGGAGAAGGTCCGAGGGGAGGGACCTTGGATCTCCTCCTCAAATACGGTTTGAGAAAAAGGCTAGGAGAGATGTCAAGGAACCGAGGAAAAACAAATTGAGAAAGAGTCCATTACTTCTCAATGCCATGCTTTCCAACAATGATAAACTGTGTATATTTATGAACAAAGTATATTGATGGTTTCCACTTACTGACAGGCATTGTGGTGCGAGGCCTCCCAGCCTGGCCAACCCTGTGGTGCACTATAGTGTACTATGGTGTGTACTTACTGCCAGGTTACTGATATGTACTATAGTGTAATTAGTGCCAGGTACTGTGGTGAGGCCTACCAGGTCACTGTGGTGTACTATAGAGTACTATGGAGTAAGGCTGAACGATTTTGGAAAATAATCTAATTGCGATTTTTTGCCCCCAATATTGCGATTGCGATTTAATATGCGATTTAATTTATTTATCCTTTTTCCCCTACAAAACATAATGAATGATTTAAATATGACCAACACAATAGTATATACATTTAGTGTGAAATGTTCTTTCCCATAGGCTGGGTCTATTTGTTAGAATTAAATTCAAACATGTATGACTTGAAATAAATGACATTTTTATTGAACTGCTCATTACAGAAACATCTGTGGCTTTGCCACTGTGCATTTAAATAATTTAAACAAAGGCATGAACTTTGTAAACACTGTGTGCAAAAGGTACAGTCTTAAGAAAAAAATAATTTTAAATTGTATGTATCTTACTGCTCCCAAGTCAGTAACATTTCACACAACTGAAACAAGGAATTTGCTTTGAAAATATTTTGTAAAATCAAAGTAAATAAAGTTATAAATAAAAAATGAGAAATGCACTTTTAATTTAGACAAACTATTTTTTATAAACGATTTGAATATTATAATATAAAATAGATGAGCCTCACTTATCTCAAGTACACAACAATAACACACCACACAGACTAAAGTTCACTACGAGTATGGCACTGCCAGCCATACTTATCCAACAGTTCTGTTCTCAGTGGCTCACAGGTTTTTTGCTAAGAAAACCAGAATATTGACTTTTTCTGGCTTCAAGGATGAGCGAGTGCAAGTCACAATATTCCCTCCTGTGCTAAAAAGACGCTCTGAGGGAGCGCTTGTAGCAGGTACACAAAGATACTTGCGTGCCATGGTGCACAACTGTGGGTAGCTGATCTTGTGCACCCTCCACCAAGCCAATGGATCATCTTCTCCATCAATGGTAGGAGTCATCAGGTAATTGTTTATCTCTGCCTCTGCGACTGAGAGGCATCATATCTTTGGCTATGAACTCGGTTATTGTCCGAGTGATTTCTCCGTGCCGTTTTGAATTACGTTCATACGGAGTGACACTTTCGAACATTTCTGTCAGTGATCCCTGTCTTGAGGTATTTGGCTTGTCTCGCGCACTGATGCTCGGCATTTTGGTCATACAACTGTCATGCATTGATTTGTGGTATTTTTTTAAGTGCTGAAACAGGTTTGTAGTGTTACCCCGTGAAGTAGCAATCGGAGCACGGCATGCTCTGCACAACACCTGACGCTGCTCAGCATCTTCTTTTTTAAAACCAAAATAGTTCCACACCACCGACGTGCTGTTCCTCTTCGATATTAAAGTATCAGCTGTGTCAGTTTCTGACTGTTCCGTCGAGCAAGAGGCCATTGCGCTGGACAGCATGAAAAGTCGCGTCACGTGACCACCTCAAATCGCGCACGTTGCGATTAGAAAATCGCGTTCAGTCAAATCGCGATATTATCGCGAATGCAATTAATCGTTCAGCCCTACTATGGAGTATTAAGCAGGGTTGGGGTCAATTCCATTTAAATTCCAGTCAATTCAGGAAGTACACTGAAATTGCAATTCTCCTCAACGCTTTTCAAATGAGTAAAATGTGGAATTGGAATTTGGTTTACTTTCTGAATTGACCCCCCAACCCTGGTATTAAAGGCGTACTTACAGCCAGGTACTGTGGTGTGAGGCCTCCCAGCCCTGCCAGGTTTCCCCAGGTGGAGGCGCTGTTGAGCTGCTGCATCTGTTGGGCCATCTGCTGCTGCAGGCGCCGCTGCTCCTTGTCCCTCTGAGTGTCCGCAAACTTACACACCATGGGGGAAGTGCAGCCCTGTAGTGGGGGAGGGGAGGGTTGGATGTCACCCAGTGAAGTTCACACACTGTCACGTACAGAGACACTATCACAGAGTAAAATCTGCAAGGACATTTTGTCAGGAATCCCCATTTGTAGGGGATGGACTATGCCTGTGGTAAACTGGGAAATGTATTTACATTTACATTTACGTCATTTAGCAGACGCTCTTATCCAGAGCGACTTACAGTTAGTGAATACATTTTTTTTTTATATATATATATATATATATATATATATATATATATATATATATATATATATATATCTATATATATATATATATATATATATATATATATATACTGGCCCCCCGTAGGAATCGAACCCACAACCCTGACGTTGCAAACGCCATGCTCTATCAACTGAGCTACATCCCTGCCGGCCATTCCCTCCCCTACCCTGGACGACGCTGGGCCAATTGTGCGCCGCCCATGAGTCTCCCGGTCGCGGCCGGCTGCGACAGAGCCTGGATTCGAACCAGGATCTCTAGTGGCACAGTTAGCACTGCGATGCAGTGCCTTAGACCACTGCGCCACTCAGGAGCTATTTATTTAAATAAACTTGTCAAAGTGTTGCATTCAAATCGTAAACAAACACACTGCCATGCACGACAAAGCCAGGCAACGTTCCACAGACAGAACCAGGAAGGGATAATGTTCAGACAGACAGACAGACAATTACACTTTTTAACAATGGAGGGTATGGCTCAAAACGAGGATTGGGGCGGAAGGGAGGGACTGAGGCTGAGGAGAGTCGACTCCACACACACAAACACGGATGTGTACGTCCAAGTCATGACATAACTAGATAAGACATTTCGCCACAACAAAACTCATACATAGCATAGCGCTGTATTCTTCTGTAACAGACAGACATTACAAGCCAGATATTGACGGGTCACTGGAGAGACCAGACGGAGACATGCGGAGGGTATCTGTGTGAGAGAGCCAGACGAGGGGACCAGGCTGGACAGGAAATGACTTTCAACACTAGTCGCACCTCCCGTAGGACCAGGGGGGTAACAGACAGTAAAAGGGACTACTAGGGTTGTAAAATGCCTGGAAATGTTCCCAAAATCCCCCAGAAAACCCAGTCACAGGATGCATGGAATCATGAGGGAACGCTTCAACCGTGATTTCTGGAAAACCTGGGGATTGTTAAAACATCCAGAATTTCACAATTTTATAGCAACCCTCAAAAAGGGTGCCACCATTAGTGGGACCTAGTTCTAATCTCCGAGGTCCAGAGATGAGTTGGGTTTAATGAGTTGTTCCTAATTAGGGATCGGTTGGATGCTTCACTAGGGAGCCACTGACATGTTAGCCGTCACATTACTTCTGCTCCAGTTACTAAGCACTGAACTGACCCAACAGGAATACTGGCCCAGTTCCTAAGCACTGAACTGATCCAACAGGAATACTGGCCCAGTTCCTAAGCACTGAACTGATCCAACAGGAATACTGGCCCAGTTCCTAAGCACTGAACTGATCCAACAGGAATACTGGCCCAGTTCCTAAGCACTGAACTGATCCAACAGGAATACTGGCCCAGTTCCTAAGCACTGAACTGATCCAACAGGAATACTGGCCCAGTTCCTAAGCACTGAACTGATCCAACAGGAATACTGGCCCAGTTTTGAACTGATTTAGCGGGACAGTTACTCAAATACAGTAGCCTATATTTCAATTAAACGCCCTATTCGATAGAGTGGAGTCTATGTTCTACCATGTTTAACGTTGGTAAACACTTGTGTAAGAGGTTGTAGGGTGCTTTGCAACTGACACGTCACATTATCAATACATTTGTGGGATATTATGGATTCATTAGGCTTCCTCTAAAACAGATTTAAAAAATAAATAAATACAAATATGTGCTAAGGGATACAGTACCTCCATAGTCTGAGAGTGATGCATGGTTTTGATTGCATTCGCAGCCTGAGCCCTGGTAGAAAATGTGATAAACGCACAGCCTGTAGGGGAGGGGGAACAAGAGGGGGGGGGGGGGGGGGGGGGGGGGGGGGACAAAGAAGAAACAAAACCAGACAAAAAAGGTATTTGGACACGTCGTTATGAAACGTTACACATTACACAGTAACACAGCAGCAGAATGAACGGCACTCCAAGCACACCGACAGAAGGACCGCTCTCACTGGTTAGTACATGGAAGAAAGAACACAACGACAACAGTCACAACAACAACAATCACGAGCACGGTGACGTAACAATAACGGACGTATTATATCACAATTAAGAGAAGCTGAGGATGGGGCGACGGGGTGAATGTGATAACTAACACAACACACTATGGGGTGGGGGTAACTGAAATGTAGAGATATCTGCATAGAAACGGCATGGCAACATCACATGCTACAATGACAGACACTCAACACGGCTAATATCTAACGACAGGGCGCAGTGACAGTTTGAGCCGTGTTCTGCATGTTCTGCTCTGCTTTCCACTCATTGGCTTTTATGGCGTCTTCTGCGGCACAGACAGACAGATAGAAGTTGCGGCAGGCGGAGAGGAATAATCCCATCCTTTGTGGAGCATAGTGGGGGCGGTGCAGCACTGACTGGGTGTGTGTGTGTGTGTGTGTGTGTGTGTGTGTGTGTCCTGTGCTGCCAGCTGAGCCCAGCCCAGAACACCAGCAGCTAGGGGTTGCCATGACGACGGCCGGGATATTTTGTTACAGGCAGAGGTGAGAGCGGTGGTGCGGCCCCCCTCACTCTGCTCAGAGAGGTAGGAGGGTGGAGTGGCGGTATGGACCCCTCTCTCTCTCTGCTCTGTGGTGTGTGGGGGGGGGGGGGGGGGGCATTTAAAGAGGAAGCCACTACCATAATACCTAAACAGATTATTTATCCAAAGCGACTTGCAGTACATTTGACATGCATATATTTTTTTCTATGTGTATTATGATTCCTTAGGGAATTGAACCCAATACCTTGGTGTTAATATCACCACGCTCTTATAAAGGAAGCGTGGAGGAGAGTGACACTGCGTTACCCACAACCCACCTCTGCTCAGACCGTCGGGTCCACGGAGAATTCGGCATTCCTCTATCTGGCCAAAAGCAGAGAACATCAACCGGACCTCATTCTCGCCGTATTTCTTGGTCACCATTCCGATAAAGAGTTTTCTGTCTTCCACCGCTGAAATAGAGAAATAAAGCAATTATTGAAGTGCACATCCCCACCTCCGCATATACACTGAGTGTACAAAACATTAGGAACACCTTCCTAATATTGAGTTGCACCCCCTTTTGTCCTCAGAACAGCCTCAATTCGTTGGGGCATGGACTCTACAAGGTGTCGAATGCGTTCCACAGGGATGCTGGCCCATGTTTAGTCCAGTGCTTCTCACAGTTATGTCAAGTTGGCTGGATGTCCATTAAAAATGGTGGACCATGCTTGATACACACAGGAAACTTAAGCGTGGAAAAACCCAGCAGCGTTGCAGTTCTTGACACAAACCGGTGCGCCTGGCACCTACTATCATACCCCATTCAAAGGCTCTTAAATATTTTGTCTTGCCCATTCACCCTCTGAATGGCACACATACACAATCCATGTCTCAATTGTCTCCAGGCTTTTTAACCCGTCTCCTCCCCTTCATCTACACTGATTGAAGTGGATTTAACAAGTGACATCAAGAAGGGATCATAGCTTTCACCTTGTCAGTCTATGTCATGGAAAGAGCAGGTGTTCCTAATGTTTTGTACACTGTGTAGATATTTATGCTGTAAATTGTATCTTCCTAACTGTAAATTCACTCATACCCTACAGTTCTACGTTCACTATCTATTTTGTATATAATGTATGTAAACTGTCTCTAGACTATATGTTGTCTATTGCTATCAGATTCATATCACCAAGTAAAATTCTGGGTGTAAATGTGATTCTGAGAAAGAAAAAGAGAGAGTAAAGTGGGAGAAGAGGAAGGAATGAGTGATGAATGAGTGCACGTGGAGATCGCGTCAGGCAGTCTGGTCTCAGATCAGTTTGTTGCTGTACAGCAAACTCCTTTGATCATTCTCATTCCTTGGCATCACAAACAAATCTGGGACCAGACTACCATTTGAGACATTGTGTGGGAACAAAACATTTTTTTAAATAAAATTGTAAAAAATGAAAACTTAAAGTGATGAGATTCCCCCCCTTTGTAATTTCCCCACTTCCTCCTGGATTTCATGGTCGACATTAGTTGTGTTCTGATCCCAGGTTGCGCCCCACATAGCACCCTGTTCCCTATTTATTCCTAATGGGCCCCGGTCAAAAGTAGTGCAGTACATATGGAATAGTGGGACGCAGCCCCATTCTCTTTAACTGGTCGAAAGTAGTGCAGTACATATGGAATAGTGGGACACAGCCCCATTCTCTTTAACTGGTCAGAAGTCATGTTTTGCTTAGACAGGCTTCAGCCCGTGCCACAGCGTATCTGCGGTGATGTCACTCACCGTTTGTTTTCTCACTGTCGGCGGGTTTCATCTGGATGGGATGATGCATCTGGAAGGAGAACACGGAAGAAACATGTTTAACATCATGCCATCATCACAAATCACACACGCCAACAACCCGTTAGTTCCCACAACGATGAACGGACCAGGTGCTGCTTGGCTGTTGATTCCTCCCTGGATCTCTCAATTGTTTAAAACCCTGTCCTCTCCTAGCCTCCTCTCCATCTGAACTGATAAGGTCAGGTGAAAGCAAGCCTAATGATGAGGTCCCAATCAGTGCAGATGAAGGGAAGGTGACAGATGGAGAATATAGAAAAAGCCCATGTTGCCCCCTTACTGGTTTTTACACTTATTTCACCAGTATTGCTCTCCCCTGGTCCCCTTCGAAATGTTTACTGCCCTTTCAAGTGATAGCTATTGTGAATGGAACGCTAACTAATACCATCCATTTCCACTAGCATTGCTAACACACTCCAAAAATGAGCGGCCACATCTTAGCTAGAGCTCCAACAAGAAGCTGGCAGAAAATCCAATCAGTCTCCAAATGACATATTTCCACCTGCAATTTATTTCCCCCGGCAGTTCCACTGGATCCTTTAATATGCTGAGGGAGAAGTGGATCTGAAGAGCTAGCCTCTTGGATTAGCAATCTACACCTGCCATGTTGGCACAGAGACAGCGGGAAAGGGAACTGAAGGAATATATAGCGAAGTGACTCATTTTTAAGTAAGGGGAATAGAGATAAGAGTGAGGTTGCAAGGTTTCAAGTTATGTTTATTTATCATGGGAAATGATTGGATATCTTACTCGAGCAAGCTCTCAAGATCAAAACAAAACACACACACACACACGGCTGACTGTATGAAATGCGGTTATTTTTCTAGAGAAGGGAACCACGAGAAATAAGGCTAGGCTTAAAAATATGGCTAAGTTTAAAATGTATTTATGACAACTTTTGACATTTTACTCCCTCGCTTGAGCACTCATGATAAAAACAAGAGGCAGTTATGAAATGTGTTGTATTTCGAGAGGAAAGGGAACTAAGAGAAAACCGACAGATGGCCCTCTCTGTATGAGGACCGGCATCACTCATCAAGGAGAGGAAGGCAGACACAGGGAGTCAGTGCGACAGGAAGACCTACCTGCATTCAAATACTATTTGAAATCTTTCAAATAAAAACTTTGAGTGTTTCCTTTAGCCTGCCTGGTGTGTCAAATGGGTGGCCATGACAGGTTTTGCATGTTTGGTTCCATTGCAACAGAGAAGTTCACGAACAGCTCAGGTATGTTAAATTATTTTAAATGGTATTTGAACCCAGGTCTAGCAACCGACAGGGACGCAAGCTTTTCCACTGACACACCATGGGTCTCCAGTCAATGCCAGGAGCAGCGTGACTGGCTGAGGTAGGGAGCAGCCGTTCAAAATACACTATTTGATAATGCGTTAACTGCCAGAGTAGAGCTGGGACGATAAACCGAAAATGTAATCGACATCGACCGCTTATTGTGGACATTTGGCTGATAACGTTAATTACGATAAATAACCTATAGGGCCCTACTAGAGAATTGTTTTAAAAATGAAATAAATGTGCTCCTTTGGGTGATTGTTAATGGGACAATTGATCGCTACAATGTAGTGGTAGTAGTTAATAAAATTCATTAAAAGTAATATAAAAAAGAACTGTGGTGCACATAGTTAAACTTATTGTTCAATTTATCCTTGTGATAATTCAGTCGATTTCTTTCCATATCGCCGAGCTCTATGCTTGAGACAGTGATATTTATACTGTAGGTTAAAGATGCCCTTTGCAGAAATCACTGCCATTTCCTTGTTGCTAAAATGCTAATAGTTCGCCACACAATTTCAGGTTGACACACAAAACAAGCAAGTATAGTTTAGAGAATCATTGTACCATCTAAACCGCTGTGAAATAGCTTTTCCATAACCAAAGATATGGTATTTTTCAGCTGTTTGAAGCTAGTGTGTAAAACCGAAAGTAAGAGACGCAAAAACTAAACTTTAGAACGGGAAGCACAGAATTAGAACAGATCTACCGCTTCTTAGACTTGCTTTCAATGACAATGTTAGATCTATAACACACATTTGTGTGAATTTGGTCAGGTCACCCAAAAAGTTACATATTGCAGCTTTAAGGTTTGTATGTGTAATGCAATCACACTTTGCTCATCAAGCCTAACTGTAAGTCGCTCTGGATAAGAGCGTCTGCTAAATGACTAAAATGTCATGTAAATGTAATGCTAATGTAGGTTTCAGGGTTGGGGTCAATTCCATTTCAATTCAGTCAGCATTCTGAAATTCCATTTAACTTCCTGATTAAATTGGAATTGACCCCAACCCTGAACTGTATAATTATTATCCCTTCTCTTATCACACTGGTTCAAATTCTTTACCACTCAGTCCCACTCCTGACCTGAAATTCTCTCCCTTTCCAATAAGGTGAAGTTATTGATTTGATTGTAGACGGAGTTAGTTAAGTATTGATTTGATTGATTGGAAGCAGATAGTAATGTAGGGGCCAGGGTGAACGGGGAGGCAAAGCTTTAACAAGCAATTACACTTGTTCCAGTTGACTGAGCTTTAATCTCTATCAGATGAGTTAGGAGACACTATCTCCACGTTTCTATCTTCCTTCTCTCCATCTCCCTCTTTCGGTCGCTCTCCATCTCTATCCACCTTCATCTCTCGGTTTCTATCTCAGCAGACTTCATTGCTAGGAGCAATATACTTCCCCCCCCCCTGTCCTTTCTTACTTCAAAAATAAAAATGTAGATTCGCATCTATGATTCATGAGGACAAGCATGATTAATCATTTGCTCTACTTTAAGACTGTGTGTGTGTGTGTGTGCGCTTCAGTGAGTTGGCTAGCTAGGCTAGTGTCCCTTCAAGCAAAGCAACCTTTACCTGACCAGGCCTTTACCTGACCAGGCCTTTACCTGACCAGGCCTTTACCTGACCAGGCCTTTACCTGACCAGGCCTTTACCTGACCAGGCCTTTACCTGACCAGCCTTTACCTGACCAGGCCTTTACCTGACCAGGCCTTTACCTGACCAGGCTCTCTGTGTTTGGGTCTTCATCTGGACACGGCTGTTTGGTTATCACGTCTGAGAGAGCGTTCGGTCAATCTGGACACGGCTGTGTGGTTATCACGTCAGAGAGAGAGAGCGTTCGGTCAATCTGGACACGGCTGTGTGGTTATCACGTCAGAGAGAGAGAGCGCTAGGTCAATGTGGACACGGCTGTGTGGTTATTAGTGTTGTCACGATAACATTTTACAAATTATACGATACCAGGCCAAGTATCACGATACCGATTAGTATCGCAATACCGCAGTAAAAAAAAAAAAATCAGTGGCCTAGCATCATGTTTCGCCCCGTCCCCCGGACACTTGTTCATTTTTTCTAAATGTCCCCCAATAATTCTAAAATTCACACTTCTACTCAAGACAACACATTGAATTTAACTTTACACTGTTCAGTGTATAATAGTATAACAGAACACTGCATAGATCGGCTGATTTGCACATATTTGCAAAGGCCTACCTGTGATTTGGCTGGAGGAATGAGAGGGAGGACTATAGATGCATGTCACTGTGGCAGTAAGGGGAGAACACTGCATGACACCTTCTTTACTCTTCAGTTAACAGACGCACACACACACACCATCTCGCCCACAAACACACATACTGCTCCCAACTCTTATAACGTTTGGCACCAAACCGAATGGAAGAAATGTATTGTTGATATAGTTTTACATTAGGTCTATATGAATCCTGACTTTTAAGCACATCTCATGAGCAGCAGACCCTTTTTTTCCCCTTTCTTCCTGGGCCAATCAGATGAGCCTAAACCTACTGTGAAGTTACCAGGTTGTTAGTTAGCTAGGTAACATGACTGAACGTTGTTTGTTATCAAACCAACAATTAGCAACGGTTTAAAAACCGCCCACGACAAAATTATATAAAATGCGAATCCCAATAGAAAGAAATAAAAGGCTACACCAGCGCTCGGCAACCTTTTCCATTTGGAGTCACAAGCTATCGTAACATTTCTACTGATCTGCGTGCCAGTCATGATTTCTATATGCACATTTGTGGCACAGTTTAATTTCATTTATAATAAAAAGTATTCATCTCTCAAAATCAATGTCACGTGGTTAATTCAAAATTATATCTAAATGAAAATGATACAAATCTAAAAGTAATTGCCATTGCCAATATGAAAAAATAGCCTACATAAACCAACAAATAAAAACATTGCAGCCTGCAGGTAGAAAATATCCTGATAAAAATAAAATCTCCTATAAATCACATTGGCTACACATGGCCGGTCTGCAAGGACCTTGAAACATTGTATCAACTATTAACTTGGTCCAGTCCGATCTTGCTAGCAAACTTTCAACATTGTATAAAATATTCTGGGCCCTCAGAGTTTGCTGTGCCAGTGAGCTCCAGACAGACACAGCTGTAGACTATTTTGCGCAAGGGATAAGATATATTTGTATTTTTTATTTCACCTTTATTTAAGCAGGTAAGCCAGTTGAGAACAAGTTCTCATTTACAACTGCGACCTGGCCAAGATAAAGCAAAGCAGTGTGATAAAACAGCAACACAGAGTTACATATGGAATAAACTAAACTTACAGTCAATAACACAATAGAAAATCTATATACAGTGTGTGCAAATGTTGTAAGTTATGGAGGTAACGCAATAAATAGGCCATAGTTCAAAATAATTACAATTTAGAATTAACACTGGAGTGATAGATGTGCAGAAGATGATGTGCAAATAGAGATACTGGGGTGCAAATGAGCAAAATAAATAATATGGGGTACAGACGGGCTGTGTACAGGTGCAGTGATCGGTAAGCTGCTCTGACAACTGATGCTTAAAGTTAATGAGGGAGATAAGTGTCTCCAGCTTCATAGATTTTTGCAGTTCGTTCCAGTCATTAGCAGCAGAGAACTGGAAGGAATGGTGGCCAAAGGAGGTGTTGGCTTTGTGGATGACCAGTGAGATATACTTGCTGGAGCGCATACTACGGGTGGGTGTTGCTATGGTGACCAATGAGCTAAGGCGGGGATTTGCCTAGCAGTGATTTATAGATGACCTGGAGCCAGTGGGTTTGACGACGAACATGTAGTGAGGACCAGCCAACAAGAGCGTACAGGTCACAGTGGTGGGTAGTGTATGGGGCTTTGGAGACAAAACGGATGGCACTGTGATAGACTACATCCAATTTGCTGAGTAGAGTGTTGGAGGCTATTTTGTAAATGACATCGCCGAAGTCAAGGATCGGTAGGATAGTCAGTTTTACGAGGGCATGTTTGGCAGCATGAGTGAAGGAGGCTTTGTTGCGAAATAGGAAGCCGATTCTAGATTTAACTTTGGATTGGAGATGCTTAATGTGAGTCTGGAAGGAGAGTTTACGGTCTAACCAGACACCTAGGTATTTGTAGTTGTCCACATATTCTAAGTCAGACCCGCCGAGAGTAGTGATTCTAGTCAGTCGGGCAGGCGGGTGAAAGCAGCGTTCGATTGAAGAGCATGCATTTAGTTTTACTAGTGTTTAAGAGCAGTTGGAGGCTACGGAAGGAGTGTTGTATAGCGTTGAAGCTCGTTTGGAGGTTTGTTAACACAGTGTCCAATGAAGGGCCAGATGTATACAAAATGGTGTCGTCTGCGTAGAGGTGGATCTGAGAGTCACCAGCAGCAAGAGCGACATCATTAATATACACAGAGAATAGAGTTTGGCCCGAGAATTGAACCCAGTCGCACCCCTATAGAGACTGCCAGAGGTCCAGACAACAGGCCCTCCAATTTGACACATTGTACTCTGAGAGGTAGTTGGTGAACCAGGCGAGACAGTCATTTGAGAAACAAAGGATATTTAGTCTGCCAATAAGAATGCGGTGATTGACAGAGTCAAAAGCCTTGGCCAGGTCGATGAAGACGGCTGCACAGTACTGTCTTTTATCGATCGCGGTTATTATATCGTTTAGGATCTTGAGCATGGCTGAGGTGCATCCATGACCAGCTCAGAAACCGGATTTCATAGCGGAGAAGGTACGGTGGAAATCTAAATGGTCGGTGATCTGTTTGTTAACTTGGCTTTCAAATACTTTCGAAAGGCAGGGCAGGATGGATATAGGTCTGTAACAGTTTGGATCTAGAGTGTCACCCCCTTTGAAGAGGGGGATGACCGCGGCAGCTTTCCAATCTCTGGGGATTTTTTGAACGGGGCATGCTTATTTAAGATGGAGAGGAAAGCACTTTTAAAAGAACAACCAGGCATCCTCTACTGACGGAATGAGGTCAATATCCATCCAGGATACCTGGGCCAGGTCAATTAGAAAGGCCTGTTCGCTGAAATGTTTTTAGAGAGCGTTTGACAGTGATGAGGGGAGGTCGTTTGACCGCGGACCCATTACGGACGCAGGCAATGAGGCAGTGATCGCTGAGATCCTGGTTGAAGAAAGCCGAGGTGTATTTAGAGGGTAAATTAGTCAGGATGATATCTATGAGGGTGCCCATGTTTACGGATTTAGGGTTGTGCCTGGTAGGTTCCTTGATAATTTGTGGGAGATTGAGGGCATCTAGTTTAGATTGTAGGATGGCCGGGGTGTTAAGCATATCCCTGTTTAGGTCACCAAGCAGTACGAACTCTGAGGATAGATGGGGGGCAATCAATTCACATATGGTGTCCAGGGCACAGCTGGGGGTCTGTAGCAAGCGGCAACAGTGAGAGACTTATTTCTGGAAAGGTGGATTTTTAGAAGCAGAAGCTCAAACTGTTTGGGCACAGACCTGGATAGTATGATAGAGCTCTGCAGGCTAACTCCACCCCCTTTGGCAGTTCTATCTAGACGGAAAATGTTGTAGTTGGGGATGGCCATTTCTGCATTTTTGGTGGCCTTCCTAAGCCAGGATTCAGACACTGCTAGAACATCAGGGTTGGCGGAGTGTGCTAACGCAGTGAATAACTCAAACTTAGGAAGGAGGCTTCTGATGTTAAACATGCAAGAAACCAAGGCTTTTACGGTTACAGAAGTCTAGTTGCGATGAACCGTTGTTAAGGTCCAGTGATTCCGGCAGAAAATCTGATATGCTCTGGGTCGATAGCGCGCTGTGCAGACTGGCCGATAATTGTCCAGGCTAGACCTGGTTGGTAGGTAGTGCAGGCCACGGACAATGGTGAAGACCGCTAACGGTGGCTAATAGCAAGTAGCTAGTTTCCGCCGGAGGTTCTAGATAAAAAAAGGTATAAAGAAATAATAGAATCCCTTCCACATTGGGTGAGGCGGGTTGCAGGAAAGTATATTTAGTTGGATGGAAAGTTACTGTGAGAAGAAAATTACTGTGAGAAGCTACACAGTGATGGAGAGTTAAGGCAATCAGAAACAGTACCAGATCCCCAAATGGGCACATTTACAGGCCAACATTTGCACGCAGGCCAGGTAGTCTAGGCCTACTTTAATGCATGATCAGGTGTGTGTCCTTACTCAAGATTGTCTTTTGTTTGGAGCGCTCCTGTCAATGAATAAATTGACAACTCGTAAATGGAATGAAATAAATCAAAAACATTTCTCACAAGTGTAGCCTAGGTTGGTGGGAATTAACAGTAAATGTACTACTGGTGTGACATCACAGTGGACTCTGCAATAGTTTAGTCCACTGAGACAGGCGTGAATCAGACAGGTGTCTCGTGTCATACATTTTTTCTTATATTTGCCACTGCTCAACAACAACAAAAAATCTTGGACGACTAACAATCGACCAGTCGAGTAAATGGGGTTAGCCCTAACACACACACACACACACACACGCCTCCTGCTTACTCACCCCAGTTAAGGTCTTTATGTTGTGCAATGCATTCTGGGCCTCCAGGGCAGCTTTTCTGGTATAAAACGTTACAAAACAGCATCCTGCAGAGAGAGGAGAGAAAAAGAGAGAAGGTGGAAGACAGAATTGAATGACAGAACAGTAACGCAACGCTGTTCCAAGACAACAGAATGTAAATAGAACACGGTATGCACCATGTCACATGTTTAGAACATGTGCCCGTTATTTTTTAGCACCAACGGTTGCACATACAGTACACAATGCAGAGCATACATGGGACAGGCAGTGGCTCCTAGCTGGCAGATGGGCTAGATAAGGAGACGGGGGTGAGGGTGAAGGCTATAGTCGACACACATGACAACTGTACTGCCACAGAAAGGGCAGAGAGCAGGAGACCAAGGGGCGAGCCGTCGGTCAGGATCACTGGTGTGTGGTAGAGAGAGGGCCACTGGGCTGAACACCCACGCTTCGACAGACAGAATGGCACTCCATTACATAAGTGTGATGGATGTGAACACACATTTAAAGACAATACAGTACACAGAAAATGGTACAGAGAGAACGAGGAGAGGGGGAGAGAGAGAAAGAGAGTAGGGAGAGAGAGAACGAGAGAGGGGGGAGAGAGAGAACGAGAGAGGGGGGGAGAGCGAGAGAGAGAGGGGGGGAGGGAGGGGAGACGGCGAAGAGGGGGGAGGGAGAGAGCGAGCGGAGGCGAGGGGGAGATAGCGAGCGAGGGGGGAGGGGGGGAGAGCGCGAGCGAGAGGGGTGAGGGGGGAGCGAGAGAAGCGCGAGACAGAGAGGGGGGAGGGGGGAGAGCGCGAGCGAGAGGGGGGAGGGGGGATTGAGCAGAAGAGGGTGGGACGGAGAGAGGAGGACGGGGGAGCTGAGAACGAGAGAGAGGGGGGATGAGAGGAAAGAGAGTGGGGGAGAGAGAGAAGAGAGTAGGGGGAGAGGGAGAACGAGAGTGGGGGGAGAGGAGAGAGAAAGAGAGTGGGGGAGAGAGAGAGAAACGAGATGAGGGGGGAGAGAGAGAAAGAGAGTGGGGGAGAAGAGAGAAGAGAGTGGGGGAGAGAGAGAAACGAGAGTGGGGGGAGAGAGGAAACGAGAGTGGGGGAGAGAGAGAAAGAGAGTGGGGGAGAGAGAGAAAGAGAGTGGGGGAGAGAGAGAACGAGAGTGGGGGAGAGAGAGAACGAGAGTGGGGGAGAGAGAGAACGAGAGTGGGGGAGAGAGAGAAACGAGAGTGGGGGAGAGAGAGAACGAGAGTGGGGGAGAGAGAGAACGAGAGTGGGGGAGAGAGAAACGAGAGTGGGGAGAGAGAGAACGAGAGTGGGGGAGGAGAGAGAACGAGAGAGAGAGAGGAGAGGAGATGGAGGAACGAGATGGGAGGAGAGAGAGACGAGAGTGGGGAGAGAGAGTACGAGAGTGGGGGAGAAGAGCGAGCGAGAGAGGGGCGAGGGGACGGACGAGAGAGAGACGAGAGAGGGGGGAGGGAGAGAGAGAGAGGGAGGGATAGCGAGAGAGAGATGGGGGGAGAGAGGAGAAGGAGAGGGGGGGGTGATAGCAGAAGCGAGAGGGGGGGAGAGAGAGCGAGAGGAGAGGGCGAGGGTTGAGGGGAAGTGAGCGAGAGAGGGGAGGGGGGAGAGAGCGAGCGAGGGGGGGAGAGAAAGGGGGAGAACGAGAGAATGAGAGAGGGGGAGTGAGAATGAGAGAGGGGGAGAGAAAGAGGGAAAACGAGAGAGGGGGGGGTGAGAGAACGAGAGGAGAAGAATCCTCTCATCCTTCCGCCCCAGCAGACCACCAGTGGCGTTCCAGCCTGTCAGTTTCTCTGGGCTGGGAGCGCACACACACAGAGCTTGGTGGAGAGAGCAAGCGCACACACAGAGCTTGGTAGAGAGAGCAAGCACACACACAGAGCTTGGTAGAGAGAGCAAGCGCACACACAGAGCTTGGTAGAGAGCGCAAGCGCACACACAGAGCTTGGTAGAGAGAGCAAGCGCACACACAGAGCTTGGTAGAGAGAGCAAGCGCACACACAGAGCTTGGTAGAGAGAGCAAGCGCACACACAGAGCTTGGTAGAGAGAGCAAGCACACACACAGAGCTTGGTAGAGAGAGCAAGCACACACACAGAGCTTGGTAGAGAGAGCAAGCACACACACAGAGCTTGGTAGAGAGAGCAAGCACACACACAGAGCTTGGTAGAGAGAGCAAGCGCACAGAAGTGGAGCACTGCAGCGTCTCTGACCTACATAATATTGTTTTATGCTGCTACTGCTGTAGAGTGCAGCTCCCCTTCCCTCACAGGATGTGTGGTGTGTGTGTGTGTGTGTGTGTGTGTGTGCGCGCGTTATGCCGTTACTGTAGAGTGCAGCTCCTCTCTCCTACCCAGGTCGTGATGTGTAGAGGAGAGATGCGATACTCTTCATATGCGTCGAGCCATTCAATGTTAGGAGCTCCTCTCTCCTAGATGAGGCTAAATAAATACAAACAAATCCCTCTCTCCCTTTTGATCTCTCGCAAAGATACCCTGGAGTCAACATGACCCAAAAAAAAACACAGCACTTCAAATCTGACCACTCAAAATAGATACAGGCAAAACAAACAAATGGAATCAGGATTATTCAAACAAAAGCAAGATGGATGGCATGAGTGGGGTGGGGGGAGGGGGTTGAGGAGTGCAGCGTGGGCCAGGGGGCGTCACCAAAGCCTCTTTTGTTGAAACTCCCCAGTTCACCCAACGGGGGGGGGGGGCATAAATAGCCATATGACGACATTTGAAATGTCTCTATTCCTTTAGAAATGTTGTGAGTAATGTTTACTGTTCATTTTTTAAATTGTTTATTTAACTTTAGTTTATTTTCCATTTCACTTGCTTTGGCAATGTAAACATGTTTCCCATGCCAATAAAGCCCCCTGAATTGACTAGAGGAGAACAGGCGGAGAGAGAGGGAGGGAGGGACAGAGGAAGAGAGAAAGGAAGAGAGGGAGTCTATAAACCTGGCATAAAGCCAGCAGAGCCAAACGGCTGCTGTGATCAACCCAGATTAACCATTAGAATAAATTAACATGTCAATGGGCCATCACAGCTGACACTACTCTATGCCTAGAAGAGAGAGAGAGCGAGAGACCGAGACGAGACAGTAGGGAGAGAGGAGAGCGAGAGAGAGAGCGAGAGCTCCTCTGCTTTGAACTATTCATCCTCTCACACAATGTGCTCTATATTGGGCAGTACCTAGCAGACACTAGTCTGACCATTAAGTACACAGAAAGCTCATTTGTGTTGACAGATGACTGGGTATCCATCCATCTAGCTAGCCCATCTAGATGTTTATACAGAAGCCTAATCATGAAGTAAATTTAACAACAGACAGAATAGGGAGAGTAGTTCAATTTTAGGTGGCGCTTGCTTAGATCAGTGCAGTAGACTATATCACAGCTCAGAGAGGTGGGAACTAACTTGGGAACAACATACCTGAGAAAATTCCAGCCTGCAACTGTCAGATTAGGCCTAGCCTTCTGTACACCCCCCCCCCCCCCCCCCCTCCCCTCCCCCCTCCTGGCTCTGCCTGATAGACCACTCTCTCCAGACAAAATCCCAACATCAAAGAAAGGTTCTACAAGCCACATAAAAACCACTGGTTGGTAGATTAGGGTTTAAATCCGTATTGAATCCCTCAGGATTGACAAAGAATTTTTTTTTTTTTTAATGGAAAGACTAATTTTCACAGACCATAGATGGCGAAGGAGCCGTCTTTCTGTTATTACGTTCACCTGGAGGCTGGTTACTTTCAGTGGCACACACTAGGGTTGGGCGGAATGCAGATTTTCATACCGTTTCTGTACCATACCGGGGTATACGTATTACCAAATGTGCACACAAGGGGCACTATTAACTTTTGTAATAATGTAGACAAAAGGGATCTTTGATCCAGGAGGGGATTGAATGTCTCTGCTGTAACCAAGAAGATGATCTTGACATCTAGCCACTTAGCTAGCAAACCAAATGCATAGCTATATGGATATAATAATCTTAGATTTCTTATAGTTATACTTAAAGCTGCAATGTGTAACTTTTTGGGCGACCCGACCAAATTCAAATAGAAATGTGTGTTATAGATCCGTCATTCTCATTGGTAGATCTGTTCTATTTCTCTGCTTCCCGTTCATAAGTTCCGTTTTTTCGTCTTTTACTTTCGGTTTTGTACACCAGCTTCAAAAAGCCAAAAACAATACTTTTGGTTATGGAAAAGCTATTTCAAATGTGGCTTAGACGGTACAATGATCGTCTACTCTGATTATTAAACTGAAATTAAGCTTACTATTCATTTTTTTTAACCAGGAAATGGCAGAGTGATTTCTGCATAGTACATCTTTAACAGTGGGGTAGCACGCACCTCCCAAACACATTTTTTTTTTTTTTTTTTTTTACGGTATTGAAAACCATACCATCGGTATTTCGAAATATACCGTTTACACCATATACCGGAGTATCACCCAAGCCTCTCACACGCGAGCCCTTCAGAACGGCAGGCTTCCACGTCGCTGTCTTGCCTAAACGAAACAGCTAATCTCGGGCACTCTTTCAAAAAGGTGAGTGTCTTAATGGATGGATGTCTTAATGGAAAATAATCTCTCTCCCTCTCACCGGAGGAAAGACATAATGGTTTTCCATAATGCACAGGTGTAAGAAGGGTTGTTATTTTGTATAACCCTTAAAATACAAACAGAAGGTTCTATTATGTTAGTAAGTCATAGACTTAGGAACATAGCGAGCAACTTTGTGTGCACAAACAGCTTGCAGCGCCTGCGTTTGTCGTCAACACCGACACTGAGTGGTGCTGGCATCATGTCTTCCTGTCTGTGTTTTGGTCCTCTTTGGCCTTTAGGGTCTGGGCTATTGTAAATATATTTCCGCCGGTATAGAAAGGATTTATTGCGGGTCTGCGGGTGTCTGGGTGCAATGTATGCGTGGGTTCGCTCTGTGCCCGTCTCCCCCTTACCTTTGCTCTGGGGGGGTGTGGCGGTGCGGTCTCGGAGGATGTTGATCTGGTGCACGGCACCGTAGGGCTCAAACAGCTCCTTGAGCTCGGTTTCTGTCCAGGAGCGGGGGATCTGGCCAACGAACATCTTGATGGAGTCATGGTCGGGCGTTTCCAGGTTCTCCATGGAACCGTTCATCTTGCTGCCGTTGCTGCCGTTGCTGCGTGGGGAGAGGAGAGGTTATTAGACTGTACCAGGACCTGAAACGTACTTTTGGGCCTACCAGTCAAGTGTGGCTGGTACAGTTGCCAGGCACTAAAGCAGTTAAGTCGTGCTACAGTATTGGCAAAACAATTGCTGCAACGCAATTCCCTAGTGATAGTTTGTCACATCTGTACCACGGCACTACATATTTTATTTATTAAATTTTAACATACATTTTAGAGCTCGCAACTGTAACCAGTCTGGCTGACAGAAAAAAAAAAAAAAAAAAATACTCGTGATAAAGATGACACACAATCACCAAAAAGACCAGACAATCCCCATCTTTATCATTAAATGTAGGCTAAAATGTGTTAGTTTGTTGAAGGGTCCCATTTTCAGTCAGTGGCTAATGACTGGAGGTAACCTAACTATTGGCTCCTCCCACCAATTGGAGTTGATTGGCTAGTTCCACAACAGAACGAAGTGAGGAGTGTTTGTTTAATGTTCCTCTAACAGTTTGTCCTTTTAATCCTTGTTTTAGTCTTTATGATTTTAGTCTTGTTGTATTTACTTTACCAGCCAATGAAATAGTACTTTAACGTGCACCGTTTTAAAAACAAAACAATTCAGCGAGACGGTAACACGACCCACACACAAACAACTCTCGCTCTCTCTCTCAGGGTGGGTCAGCGCCAACGCTAGGCTGTTTGCCGGGCCCTGAGAGGAGGAGATCAGCATTCTCAGGGTGATTAAGTTAAGGCTAGACTTAAGACTGATGGAGCCCAGTCCTCTACACAGCACAGCAGCCTACCCAACAGAACCCCACTAGGACAGACTGATGGAGGGGTGTCAGACAGCAGGCCAGGCAACTTCGTGAGCGTACCACTCACAGTAGCATACCAATACCACACAGTCCACTACAACACAGCAGAAGCCTCTCTCCGAACATGCCTACACTGAGCCAGGCTGGGAAGCTGAGGGGGCAGCCTCTCACAAATCGCTGACCATAGCCCCCCCCCTGACTGAGCCAGGCTGGAAGAGGGCCAGGAGGCCACGACTCTGGTCCCACATTTAGCTGGGAGGGAGGGGAGTTAGCTGTGACTACGGCCCTACAGCAGGGTTCCCCAACTGGTTGGTTTTATTTGGCCCCTCAAGTTTTCTGAGCAAAACATTTTTTAAATTGTGGAATTTATTGTTGAACATAAGACTAAAAACACCAGAAAATCAACTCCAAGTGTTTTTAATCTAAGAAATCTGTTCCCAAGTATTCCCAAGCATAATAGAGAGACAGGTGATCGTATACAAATGTAAACAAGATCTGAAATGATTACGTTTTAGTCGTTTGGGCTTCTTGCGGTCAATTTGCAGCCTACAAATTATTTTTAAGTATGTCCCCCCCCCCCCCCCCGACCATCAAAACTAAAATTATTTTAAAAATTTATAAAAATCGGCCAGCGGCTGAATCTATTTGATGATCCCTGCCCTATAGTCTCTTAGGTACAGAGAGGTAATGCCAATGGGAAGGTATCATTCACTCACAGCAGAGCACACGAGCCAGAGGATCACACAAGTTTGTGTTTGTCTGCCCAGCCAGATAACGACCAGAGGGACTCCTTGTGGATAGCAAGCTGACGGCTGGCACACACACGGCTGATGATTCATTCTAATGGGATAGTAAGCAGAGGGCCTGAGGGAAACAAAGAGGGTGAGGGTGACTAGGCTAAATAAAAAGGATAGGAGAGTAAGTATACAGACCTTTGGACACGAGCCATCCATCTCTTACACATAGAGCCCAAACGCTCGGCCGAGACACCAAGGAACGACCTAAAACGACATGCTTACTGACAAGTCCTCTGGAAATCCAACTCTTAGAAAAGACCCAAATCCAACACACTTCTTCACAAATCACACTTATTTTAGTGGAAAAATAGAGGCACAAACCGTCCTACTGGAGTCAATTCATCCAAACAGCTATTAAGACGTACCCAAAAAATAAAAAGCCTGAAATTGGAAGCATAGAAAGACGCTTTACAGTCCACACAAAACCAAGGGGTGACTTCACTGGCCCCGCCACCCACCCCCTGACAGCTAGCGACACAGAATCCTCTCAGCAGGAAGGCCCCAACACAGCAGGGTCAGTCAGCACAAATCGAAAGATGGCAGTCCGAAACACAGGAAGGACTGAACTTGTCCAAAAAGAAAAAAAAGCTCCTTTTCCATTTTCGTTGCAAAAATGTTTTACCCTCTCCACACCTCTAAAAAAAAACACAGGGAGATCAGTAAGCAGAGAGGACTGTTGCCTGTAGCCCATCACCGTGTCTCTCTCTCTCTCTCTCTCTCTCAGGAGCTGGTTTGGTTGGCGATGGAACAAGGAGTAACCTACCAGCATTCCATAGACATAGAATTCTTAGAATGGCCATCCCCCATTCCAAGTGAAGCTACAGTGATGGCGGGTTCCATTCCACTCATTATTTATCTACGCCATCCCCAGCACAGCAACAGGGGAAACAATCGCATATTGTTCAGATGTTGGAGAGAACACTTCACAGATAGATTCTCTCTACGGTAACAATGGGCCTGTAAGCAAGTCAGGGGGACACTTTGTAATCCTCCCACCCAACGCTACGTCTAACTAAACCAGTGGGCATTGTGTCGTGTGACACCATTATCTAGTAGCCAGACCCAGGCAGCCTCCTGACACCATTTTGCTGAGTGATTTGCCTTCTGAACTCTTACATGTACCAATAAAAAGTTTGAACACACCTACTCATTCATTAGATAGATAGATATATATACATACATACATACATACATACATACATATATACATACATACATACATACATACACAAATCTCAAGTGGTGTAAGAGTGCCAACGCAGCACCATTTTGCTGAGTGCCTGGTCTTACTTCTCCTGGTCACATATAATATGATTATGTTGATAACGCCATGCGTGTGGTGTGAATCACAGCTGGGAGATATGGCCAAAGTGTCATTACAATATGTTTTTTGTTTTGTTTTCTACATTTGACTGTATTATGTTTTTCCAATAATAAAACATTCTACATTTACTTTGGAGTAGTGCATGACCCTAGGGTGGAAACACACAGCGCCTTCAGAAAGTATTCAAACCCCTCGGTTTATTCCACTTTGTGTTACAGACGGAATTCAAAATGGATCAAATATTTTTTTTTAAATCTCATCCATCTACACACACAGTGACAGTGAAAACATGTTTTTAGAATAAAAAATTTTAAAAAACGTTTTGAAAAAGAAATCTCATTTACATAAGTATTTACATCCCTGAGTCAATACTTTGTAGAAGTACCTTTGGCGGCGATTACAGCTTTGAGTCATTTTGGGTGAGTCTGCATCAGCTTTGCGGATCTGGATTTGCGGATTGTCTCCCATTCTTCCTTGCAGATTTTCTCAAACTCTGTTAAGTTCGTTTGGTGAACAGCAATCTTCAAGTCTTTCCACAGATTTTAAATGGGATTCAAGTCTGGGCTTTGACTGGGCCACAAAGAACGTTCACATTCTTGTTCTGAAGCCATTCCAGCGTTGCTTTGGCTGTATGCTTGGGGTCATTGTCCTGTTGGAATGTAAATCTTCGCACCCATTCTAAGGTCGTTTGCACTACTCTGAAGCAAGTTCCCATCAAGGATTTGCCTGTAATTGCCTTAAGGTATAGTTTCTGCTCTGACATGCACGGTCAACTGTGGGACCTTATATAGACAGGTGTGTTTCTAAATCATGTTCAAACTATTGAATTGGCCACAGGTGGACACCAATCAAGTAGCATTGACATCAAGGATGATCAAAGGAAATTGGATGCACCGGAGTTCAATTTGGAGTGTCATAGCAAAGGGTTGTGAATACTTATGTAAATTCGATCTGTATTTCATCTAATACATCTGCTAAAATTTCTAAAAACATGGTTTTCACTGTCATTATCGGGTATTTTGTGTAGATAGGTGAGAGAGAAAAAAACATTGAATCCATTTTGAATTCCGTCTAACAACAAAATGTAGATTAAATCAAGCGGTATGAATACTTTCTGAAGGCACTGTAAATGCTAAGTGATTTGAAAAATTGGGTTTTCTCCATTCTGATTGTTTTATACTGTTCAATTAAACTTCCAACCAAAAATAACGTCATGAATAGTCACTTGAGGGCTCTATCCAAGCGGAGGAGGAGAAGAAGGGGATATTACATTTTTCAAATGGAACAGTCTCCAACGTATCCAGTAAGGAGAAAACACTTGTCCTTTTTTTTTAAAGTTGCAAAGCGTTTTGCTACAGTGTGCCCCAATGAGTACAACCCAGACCAGAAAAAGTCAGTGAGGCCTGGCGGCCCTGTGACATGGCAGGTGACCTGTCCCAAAGACACCCGGGAGCAGCTGACAGGCCCTGGAGTCCTCTGGAGCCCCGGCTAGTCTGAAATTAGCATACCCGTTGTCGCTCTTACCATAAAAACAACATGATTTACCGGGACCATATGCCTGGACAGGCCGTTTGCTGTGATTTGACCGCAGAAGCATGTCAGCTACACTTCTGCTATATCTTTCCTAGTAGCTCCCATTATAGAGACCAGTCACCAATACTAGGCTTATATACTGGACTACATGACAGCCATCTTCTCAAAATGAGTCACCTGGCATTGTTGGGTTCTGTATGCACCCTAAATGAATGGAGCGTTAACACCAACAAGTTCAACTTAGAATATAAGCCTAAGGCATTTCCTTGGCTTGGTTGGGATCGTTTTAAAAAGAACCACTTGACTATGTAAAAACAAAAAATAATAATAATCCACCTCTCACTCCAACAAGGCAGTTTACAACAAGCAACAGAGAAATAGCAGCTGTTGGTTTCCGGTGTGTGTGTGTGTGCCAACACTACAATGCTGGAAACCACAAAGATTTCATGAAACGACGACACACAGGAAGGGCAGCCTGCACCTTGAGTCACTCCGGCAAGGCAAGGTGTGTGTGTATGTACAGTGGGGAGAACAAGTATTTGATACACTGCCGATTTTGCAGGTTTTCCTACTTACAAAGCATGTAGAGGTCTGTCATTTTTATCATAGGTACACTTCAACTGTGAGAGACAGAAAATCACATTTTATGATTTTTAAGTAATTAATTTGCATTTTATTGCATGACATAAGTATTTGATCACCTACCAACCAGTAAGAATTCCGGCTTGCACAGACCTGTTAGTTTTTCTTTAAGAAGCCCTCCTGTTCTCCACTCATTACCCTGTATTAACTGCACCCGTTTGAACTCGTTACCTGTATAAAAGACACCTATCCACACACTCAAACAGACTCCAACCTCTCCACAATGACCAAGACCAGAGAGCTGTGTAAGGACATCAGGGATAACATTTTAGACCTGCACAAGGCTGGGGTGGGCTACAGGACAATAGGCAAGCAGCTTGGTGAGAAGGCAACAACTGTTGGCGCAATTATTAAAAAATGGAAGAAGTTCAAGATGACGGTCAATCACCCTCGGTCTGGGGCTCCATGCAAGATCTCATCTCGTGGGGCATCAATGATCATGAGGAAGGTGAGGGATCAGCCCAGAACTACGCGGCAGGACCTGGTCAATGACCTGAAGAGAGCTGGGACCACAGTCTCAAAGAAAACCATTAGTAACACACTACGCCGTCATGGATTAAAATCCTGCAGCGCACGCAAGGTCCCCCTGCTCAAGCCAGCGCATGTCCAGGCCCGTCTGAAGTTTGCCAATGACCATCTGGATGATCCAGAGGAGGAATGGGAGAAGGTCATGTGGTCTGATGAGACAAAAATAGAGATTTTTGGTCTAAACTCCACTCGCCGTGTTTGGAGGAAGAAGAAGGATGAGTACAACCCCAAGAACACCATCCCAACCGTGAAGCATGGAGGTGGAAACATCATTCTTTGGGGATGCTTTTCTGCAAAGGGCACAGGACGACTGCACCGTATTGAGGGGAGGATGGATGGGGCCATGTATCGCGAGATCTTGGCCAACAACCTCCTTCCCTCAGTAAGAGCATTGAAGATGGGTCGTGGTTGGGTCTTCCAGCATGACAACGACCTGAAACACACAGCCAGGGCAACTAAGGCGTGGCTCCGTAAGAAGCATCTCAAGGTCCTGGAGTGGCCTAGCCAGTCTCCAGACCTGAACCCAATAGAAAATCTTTGGAGGGAGCTGAAAGTCTGTATTGCCCAGCGACAGCCCAGAAACCTGAAAGATCTGGAGAAGGTCTGTATGGAGGAGTGGGCCAAAATCCCTGCTGCAGTGTGTGCAAACCTGGTCAAGACCTACAGGAAACTTATGATCTCTGTAATTGCAAACAAAGGTTTCTGTACCAAATATTAAGTTCTGCTTTTCTGATGTATCAAATACTTATGTCATGCAATAAAATGCAAATTGTTTATGTAAAAATCATACAATGTGATTTTCTGGATTTTTGTTTTAGATTCCGTCCCACAGTTGAAGTGTACCTATGATAAAAATGACAGACCTCTACATGCTTTGTAAGTAGGAAAACCTGCTAAAATCGCCAGTGTATCAAATACTTGTTCTCCCCACTGTACATACACACACACCTTCTTGGGTCTGTGACATCTCATCTGAATTCCATACAAGGTGCTGCAATCTGCTGGAAGACTGTTGTCCTGGTCTATAATCAGTACATCAGTCATCTGATTAGGGCCCCATAAAGACATTTTCCTCCCAGCATTAACTCCAATTCTGCCTCAATATGGCCTCATTTCCATTGTTGCATTTCCCCTGATGAAGAAATATGTGTCCAATCAGGCTGTTACTAGAGCCCCATGTTAACAACGGGCTGTTACTAGAGCCCCATGTTAACAACAGGACTGTTACTAGAGCTCCTTGTTAACAACAGGCTGTTACTAGAGCCCCATGTTAACAACGGGCTGTTCCTAGAGCCCCATGTTAACAACGGGCTGTTACTAGAGCCCCATGTTAACAACGGGCTGTTCCTAGAGCCCCATGTTAACAAACAGGCTGGTTCCTAGAGCCCCATGTTAACAAACGGGCTGTTCCTAGAGCCCCATGTTAACAACGGGCTGTTACTAGAGCCCCATGTTAAGAACGGGCTGTTACTAGAGCCCCATGTTAACAACGGGCTGTTACTAGAGCCCCATGTTAACAACGGGCAGTTACTAGAGCCCCATGTTAACAACGGGCAGTTCCTAGAGCCCCATGTTAACAACAGGCTGTTCCTAGAGCCCCATGTTAACAACAGGCTGTTCCTAGAGCCCCATGTTAACAACAGGCTGTTCCTAGAGCCCCATGTTAACAACAGGCTGTTCCTAGAGCCCCATGTTAACAACAGGCTGTTCCTAGAGCCCCATGTTAACAACGGGCTGTTCCTAGAGCCCCATGTTAACAACAGGCTGTTCCTAGAGCCCCATGTTAACAACGGGCTGTTCCTAGAGCCCCATGTTAACAACGGGCTGTTACTAGAGCCCCATGTTAACAACGGGCTGTTACTAGAGCCCCATGTTAACAACAGGCTGTTCCTAGAGCCCCATGTTAACAACAGGCTGTTCCTAGAGCCCCATGTTAACAACAGGCTGTTCCTAGAGCCCCGTGTTAACAACGGGCTGTTACTAGAGCCCCATGTTAACAACGGGCTGTTACTAGAGCCCCATGTTAACAACGGGCTGTTCCTAGAGCCCCATGTTAACAACAGGCTGTTCCTAGAGCCCCATGTTAACAACAGGCTGTTCCTAGAGCCCCATGTTAACAACGGGCTGTTCCTAGAGCCCCATGTTAACAACAGGCTGTTCCTAGAGCCCCATGTTAACAACGGGCTGTTCCTAGAGCCCCATGTTAACAACGGGCTGTTACTAGAGCCCCATGTTAACAACGGGCTGTTACTAGAGCCCCATGTTAACAACAGGCTGTTCCTAGAGCCCCATGTTAACAACAGGCTGTTCCTAGAGCCCCATGTTAACAACAGGCTGTTCCTAGAGCCCCGTGTTAACAACGGGCTGTTACTAGAGCCCCATGTTAACAACGGGCTGTTACTAGAGCCCCATGTTAAGAAAGGGCTGTTACTAGAGCCCCATGTTAAGAAAGGGCTGTTACTAGAGCCCCATGTTAACAACGGGCTGTTACTAGAGCCCCATGTTAACAACAGGCTGTTACTAGAGCCCCATGTTAACAACGGGCTGTTACTAGAGCCCCATGTTAACAACAGGCTGTTACTAGAGCCCCAGGTTAACAACAGGCTGTTACTAGAGCCCCAGGTTAACAATAGGCTGTTACTAGAGCCCCATGTTAAGACAGGGCTGTGAATAGAGCTCCACGTTAACAGCATGATGACAAGACCTACCCCATTAGTGTCCCTGGTGACCGTGGTTATGAATTGAACTTAAAGCAGGAATGAATTAATAAGTGAGTGTCCCCAGGTGACGGTGGTTAAGGCTGAGGGATGCAAATTAGAGTTGAGTCAGGGTGTGAATGGATGAATGGTTGCATGAATTAAATGGACACTCAAATGTCTCCAGAATAAGGATTCAAAGTAAAGCAGGTGTGAGTGAATGCTCTAGAAGATCATAGGAACCTGGCTGAGGTTGTTCCAAATCAACCGTGGTCTGGTCACACCTCATCCAACTGGAGCTAGCATGCAAATCCAGCATCAGTTGAAGAGAAGCTTGTTGGCAGGAGCAGCAGGCTCGTAACCTAGGATCCAAACTGAATGATGGGATCCAGGATAGCAGGGATGGGTCCTCAGAAGAAAGAATAGCAGCCTAATAGAGACCCATAGAAACTGATGGTAGACCCAGGGAAAACAGAGGTTCCTAGTCCGTGCTTAGAAAAGCACTCAACATAAAGAAAATAAGATACTACTGTAGCTGTTAAGACCAGAGTAAACTGCTGTTTGAAACTGGCCCTTAACAACAAATAACATTATTTAAAAATGAAAAATAAGAACCCTACTCAAGGCCAGTTATTTTTATGTACAGTTTAATGCTTTAAATGGTATCCCTCGAGGGCTTCTTTAAAACTGTCAGTCACCAGCTAGCTAGCGGCTTTCTGCTCCACGTAGGCCTCTGACCAAGAGGGAGAGGTCAACCTGCCAACACACACCCTCCTGGCTCCTAAACCCTACCCAACACAAATGGCTGAAACAGAGAGGGACTACACAGGGCTGTTTTTTTTTTTTTTTTAAACAGACAAACGGGGGGGACTGGGACTACCTGGACTTGTCCAATAAGAAATGCTTATTTTCACTGGAAAACGTTTTGCGTTGTTTACGCCAATCATAAACACAACTCAGCAGATTCCACTCAACTTGGACAACAGACAGTGCCAACTCATCCCATGTGCTGTGTACCATGAGTCTGTGGTCACCTGCTAGATCATGTGCATGCCATTGCAATCTTCAAGATTCTATTAGCAAGGCTTAGCCTCCTATATCATGATGTGCCACTCATCATGTGCCATAGGGATGTTCCAACTTCCATACAACATAATGGGATTTTTCAACTTACCTTGGCACTAGTCGAATACAAGACACTTTCCTGTCACAATGTTTGCCATTTCCAAATCTAACATTGAGCATGGAATGTGAATTGATATTAGGCTCTATTCTCTGTTGCAGTGCTCTGTAGTGTACACCAGCTAGGGCCGGGACAACACCAGTATCGCAATATTTTTTCCACTGCAAAAATTAAAAACACGAAGCAGACAAAAGTATTTGGTACTTTAAAAAACATGCTGTATGTAAAATAGTGTGTTATAGCTAGAAAATAAATTGACTCTGCGTGTCAACAATTTTTGTTTCCAACATTATGGCTGTTTTCCTAAAGAAGATAAATCGGCTTTGTGTTTTATTTCCTTGCAACAATACTAATGAGTATTGCGACCCTTGCATCGCCCCGGCCCCAGTATCAGCCAACCAGACATTAGCCAGCAAAGCAGAAGTGCTGTATATGGGTAGCCTAAATAACTAGCTATCTCACTGTGCCAAGTACACACAAAAAAAACTGGCAAATGTATCTTTTGTTTGCAAAATACCCACGCCACAAGGCCATCCAAGCGTGAAGGTTGACATATACCGAATATTTTGTTGCGACCTCAAACCACACAAACAAAAACAACTTGGGAGGCTTTGGACTTTTGAGGCGGAAAGGAGAGAAAGTGGTGAACATGTAGGTTAGGACGATGTAGTCTGCTGGAAAGTAGAGAAGAAAGCCTAGCACTTTGTTGCAACCTCAAACCACACTCTGAGGAACTTGGAGATGTAGGAGGAGCGGTAAGGAAAGAAGAGGGGTGAAGATGTAGGTTAGACTCAGGGCTATGTAGTAACTTTTGAAAAAGAACAGAAAATATTCTGTTGCAACTTCAAACACTTGGGAGGAACTAGGAAGAAAGGGCAGGAGAGAGAGGGTTGAAGTCGATGTAGGCCACGGCATAAGTAGTTTGGGTGAAGGTGTAGGCCTAGGTCGAACTGGTTTTGGACCAGACAAAGTTAATTAAACCTCGATACAGGATGCATCCAACATCAAACCAGCAGCAGGGGAACAGGTGACAAGCCAGAATGGAGCCCTCGCAGCCGTTTCTCCCTCTTGAACACACACACAATATGAGAACAGCTGGCCGCCACTGTCAGCCCCAGGACTCCGTGCCAAGAGGCCACACTTTGCCCAGATCAACAGACAGCCAGCTCAAATCAAATTTTATTGGTCACATGCTTCGTATACAGGTGTAGACTAACAGTAAAATGCTTACGTCCCAACAACGGAGAGAGAAAGAAAAGAGAAATAATATAAAAGTAATAATATAAAAGTAATAATAAATACACAATGAGTAACGATAACTTGGCTATATACACAGGGTACCAGTACTGAGTCGTGCAGGAGTACAAGATAATTGACTTAGATATGTACATATAACTAGGAATAAAGTGACTAGGCAACATGATAGATAATAAACATGTGATGAGTTAAAACAGTTAGTGCAAAAAAGGGTCAATGCAGATAGTTAACCAAATAGCTACCCGGACTAATTATACTGAACAAAAATATAAACCGCAACGTGAAGTGTTGGTCGCATGTTTCATGAGCTGAAACAAAAGATCACACAAATTTTCCATACGCACAAAAAGCTTATTTCTCTCAAATTTTGTGCACAAATTTGTTTACATCCCTGTTAGTGTGCATTTCTCCTTTGCCAAAATAATCCATCCACCTGACAGGTGTGGCATATCAAGAAGCTTGTTGTTTTAGAGAATTTGGCAGTACGTCCAACCGGCCTCACAACCGCAGACCACGTGTAACCACGCCAGCCCAGGACCTCCACATCTGGCTTCTTCACCTGAAGGATCGTCTGAGGGGAGGGGAGTGCTGAGGAGTATTTATGTCTGTAATAAAGCCATTTTGTGGAGAAAAACTAATTCTGATTGGCTGTGCCCCTGACCAGTCGTGAAATCCATAGATTATGGCCTAATGAATTTATTTCAAATTGACAGATTTCCTTTTATGAACTGTAACTGAGCCAAATCTTTGAAATTGTTGCGTTATTTTTGTTTAGTATATTTAGCAGTCTTGCGGCTTGGGGGTAAGAAGCTGGTCAGGTTCTGTTGGTTCCAGACTTGGTGAATCGGTACCGCTTGCCGTGCGGTAGCAGAGAGAACAGTCTGACTTGCTAGGCTGGAATCTAGGGATGTCCAACAAAAAAATAATAATCTTGGTCGACCAAGAGTAATCTGTTCTTTCGACAAATCTACTGGTAGGAATGTTAAAACATGTATTTTTTCCATATAGACACACCCTATGTGTTTTAATAAAATCAACTATATGTAGACTTGAGCTTGTCTGATGCTTTAAGCACACCGTGATTAAATAATTAAGACAAATGACTCAAGAGGGAGCTAGAGATCAAGACAGCCAAACCAGATGAAAATAACCTGTTCCTGAACCTCCTCCCGCTGCTGCTGGCCTTAGCAGATTCTGCCATTACGCTCACGAAGTTGCCGGTAATAGGCTACACCAGGGGTCCGCAACCTTCTCCTTTTGATCTCACCATTTCTACCAATCTGCGTGCCAGTTATGAGTTTCAACTATCTAAAAGTAAGTTCTATTGCCATCACCAAACATGTAAAAATAGCCTACATAAAGTCAACAAATAAAAACACTGCAGCTAGAAAATATCCTGATAAAAATAAATCACACTGGCTACTCATGGCCTGTCTGCAAGGAACTTTAAACATTGTTGATACAATCAACTTGGTCCTACCAGAAGCGTGCACTAACAAACTTGCAACATCGTATAGTTTGGATGTAAAAACACTTAATTTACTTGCTGTATGCGGTGAAGAAAAAACTTACTTTGAGATGCTACACAGCTCATTAGTGGTGGTAAGTTAAGCCAATCAGAAATACTATCAGATCCCTAAACGGGCACATTTATAAGCCTGCATTTCCATCCAGGCCAGGTAGCCTACTTCTACGCATAATCAGGTGCACATCCTTACTCAACATTGACAGGCGTGCTCCAAACAAAACACAATGAATAAATTGACAACTCGTAAATGGAATGAAATAAACCAAATTTGTTTCTCACAAGTGTAGCCTAGGTTGTGCGCTCTGCAAACAAAGTGACCACTTCTACAATGAGTAATGTAAAAGACTAACAATCATAATCCTAATATTTTGAATGCATTAACAGAAATTACAGTAACCAAATAAATTGAAGATTAGAAATTAACAGTAAATGTACTACTGGTGATACTGGTGTGCCTCCACAATGGATTAGGCCACTGAGACAGGCCTCAAGAGGTGTTATAAAAAAATAAAAGTTTTGCAACTGCTGGACAAAAAAAATCTCTGTCAACCAACAGCCTATCGACCAAACAAATCGACAAGTCGACTAAATTGGGTCAGCCCTACTGGAGTCTGACAATTATTAGGGCCTTCCTCTTACACCGCCTGGTATAGACGTCCTGGATAGCAGGGAGCTCGGCCCTAGTGATGTACTGGGCTTCTGTAGCGCCTTTCGGTCGGATGCCAAGCAGTTGCCATACCAGGCAGTCAGTCAAGCTGCTCTCAATGGTGCAGCTGTAGAAATGTGAAGAACTGAGGGCCCATGCCAAAACTTTTCAGCCTCCTGAGGGGGCAGAGGCGTTGTCGTACCCTCTTCACAACAGTGTTGGTATGTGTGGACCATGATAGATCCTTAGTGATGTGGACCCGCTCCACTACAGCCCCGTTGATGTGAATGGGGGCATGCTTGTGTTCAGCTCCTTTGTCTTGCTGAAGTTGAGGGAGAGGTTGTTGTCCTGGCACCACACTGCCAGGTCTCGGACCTCCTCCCTATAGGCTGTCTCATCGTCGTCGGTGATCAGGCCTACCACCGTCGTGTCGTCGGCAAACTTAATGATGACGTTGGAGTCATGCCGTGGGTGACCAGGGAGTACAGGAGGGAACTAACCACGCACCCCTGAGGGGCCCCCGTGTTGAGGGTCAGCGTGGCGGATGTGTTGTTGCCTTCCCTCAACACCTGGGGGAAGCCCGTCAGGAAGTCCAGTTGCAGCATTCTCACATAGGTGTTCCTCTTGTCCAGGTGGGAGAGGCGCGAGTCATTTAAACAGGTTCCTTTGGCGTTTTTGGTATGGTATAGAATGGAGCTGCAATGGATGGCTGCCGTTTTACGGGCTCCTGACCAATTCTGCTATTTTGTGTGTTTATTTGCGGCAATAAACTTTTTTGTGCATAATGTTTCCGCCGTAGTTTCCTATGACCGAAAACTCCTGGACATCAGAACAGAGACCGCTAACCTCGATTTGGATGAAGATTTCTACTTTAACGTGTTGGCGGAGCAGGACATACTGCTCACCCCGGACCAGGCCCCAATTCCAGAGACTATGAAGAGTCTGCTTAAGGAGAGGCCGACGGACTGCCTCTACCCTCCATTCGAGACTATCCTATCAACGGGACCTGAAGAACTGTAACATCCTATTTTCCTCAGAGTCGTGGCTGAACAAGGAAAATATACATCTAGCTGTTTTTTTATGCATCTTCAAGACCGTATGACAGCGCCAGGAAAGGGGGCAGGGGTGTGTGTCTGTTAACAGCTGGTGCTCTTTCTCTAATATTAAGGAAATCTCAAGGTTCTGCTCGCCTGAGTTTAATACCTCATGACAAGATGTAGACCATACTATATACCAAGAGAGTTTGTATATTTTTCCTAGCCGTCTATTTACTATTTAATCTGTCAGTCCACAACAATGGGATCACGGCATCATCAAATCTAGATTAGCCCAGATAACACACTGTTTGCGTTCCAAATGGCACCTTATTCCCTATATAGTGCACTACTTTTGCCCAGGGCCCATAGGGTAAAAGTAGTGCACTGTATAGGGAAAATGGTGCCATTTGGGATGCTCCCCATGTTAGTGTTCGCTGCCAATGGATCACACTTAAGCCCAGATATTCACCATCTCACTGTCCTTTATCAGAGGCTCAATCAAATCACAGAACACACACACACACAGATGAGTTGGGTTTAGATTGCATCAGCCGTGTGTGTCCAACACCAAAAGATAGGATTCCATTATTTAATTGCTCCAGTCCCGGACCACAGCTAGGCTTTAGACCCACAATAATTCAAGTGCCAGACAGCCATGATTACCTTTTCACTCACTTAAATCATCCCTTGTTGAGTTAACCTTTTCTTTTTTTCAGTTTGTGTGTCTCATTTCAAGTGCATGTAGTTACTACAGGATACTTGCTGTATGATGTTGACCTCAGCTGAGAGGTGTAGTGAGTGATTGGAGGGGATCACAGTAACATCATTAATAAATCCATCATCCAACAACAGTGGTGTGCTGGACAGGTTAGGGATCGACAGAGTTCCTATGACAAACCTATTTGTTGCAGATACAAAAAAATAAAATGGATCCCTCTCTTGCTTAATGCTTCCAGTGTGTTCTCATCTAGCAGGAAATCATAGGCTATTTGTCATTCACCATGTTTTACTGCAAATCCATTGATCAGCCCATTTAATAATCAATATCAGGGTAAGGGGGTTGCTGTAAACATGTTTAAGTATGCAGCTAGATTTGTAGCTAAATAGGCTATGTTTTAGTTGTTTCTGGAACGTTACAGGGCCAAGCCCATTTCTAGAGCTAACTAGGGTAGGGGGGTTTCAGAGTGAACTCTCCCTGAGCAACACACAGCCTTGAGCTGTATACCCTTTCTATGGTTGAGAGTTGGAATCCAGTCATGGTAAGCCGAATTAGCCTCCGGCCATTTCTAAAACAACATGTATTTGTGTTGTTGACTGGCTTCCTTTCCTAACACTCTATTTCGGCGGTCACAAGATGTCCATTAAATTGCTCAAGAACGTACCACGTGTGTTCTGCAAGCCACCCTACACGAACCTCCATTACGGGAAATCGATTGCTAACGGGGAACTACTCGCTACAAAGAAACGTAGCCAGTTGCCTGCCCCTCGTGAAACATCGAGTACAAATGCACGAACTGTATCTCGTGAAAACGAAACATAACGTTACATTATAGCGACTTATGCAATACATCGACTTGATATCAAAAGCGTTGCAATGGGGTAGAATTTCGTCTTTTTATTTAGCAATTTTCTATCATGGCCTACCTGTTACAGAACAGAAGACTCCGTTGCTGCCCTCTCTGTTCCTCTCGTTCCGCTCAAGCAGCATAAAAAAAAACCAAAAGGGCGGCTGCCGCGTGTGCTGGTTTTTCCTCGGCTCTCACAGTAAAGACACCGAAACACACAAGCAATCCTTTCTAACTGGCTATGTTGAATAAACTTTAGAATGACGACTACCTAGTCCGATACTGTCTGGAACATGTTAACTCCGGAAGCACATGTCACTTCACTAGCATTTCCTTAGCCAAGAAGTAAACACATTTTCAGCTAACTAGCTAGCTAGCTACCCACCCATCCATTTAACTTGCTATGCTACTCAGACATGTCCGTAAATTATCAGTGCGTTGAATGCAACTTTGTGGACGTTAGTTTATATGCAATGAATTATTTATTTAAATGTCGGTTATTAGAATCTAATAACAAGCAGTTACTTACATTGTATCTTCCGAGCTCATCATCAACCGGCTTTCTACCATCCTATCCGGATGAAAATCCAGACCGCTGTATGTCGAAGTCATATTCCCGAGCTACAACCACAAGCCACCACGCTGTAGTCAACAATGAAAGTGAGTGAAATCGCCTCGAGATTCAACTCCTGCGCGACCACGAGACGCAGCGGGACAGGTGCAGGGAGGGGGGTTTATTCTAGCCTTCTACTTAGAGCAGCAGCATGCGAATACTAACCATCAAAGTCGGTTGACATTCGTCTTCTGCATCCCCCAGCTAATTTCTCCTCCAATCCCCAATTGAAATAAACTACAGGCGAGCAACTGGGCGGATTCGATTATGTTGAACCGCGGGGCACCGGGCTATGGCCATGACGTGAACGGGCAAAAGCGGCGAGGGAGGAGCGCCATTCTCAAATCGAACAGTAACAGAAACATACATCTCTTTACCATAAAATATGTTCGAATTTTCTAAATAGTTTTTATTGGGAAGGCAGATAATCAGTTTTTATCAAAGTAATTACTTTTGCATGTGAAAACAAAGAAACCTACTCATTACTCCACGTGCTTAATACGTCACTTTTGTTTTGAGACGACTTCGACATGGACTTTGAACTGCGCACCTGGCTCACGCCCGGGAGGCAGCCCAGTTCCAAAACGAATGCAATCAATTTTCATCCGGTGCAAAACACGTCTACCCGGACCAGATTAATCGAATCCCCTCACTGTCAAATCGACTGCAGATAGGGAAAGCGAGAGGAGAGGCGTGGCTACTTCCATTCCATGTCAAGTATGTAAAACATTTTTTGCCTTACATTTACGTCATTTAGCAGACGCTCTTATCCAGAGCGACTTACAGTTAGTGAATACATATTTTATTTTTATACTGGCCCCCCGTGGGAATCGAACCCACAACCCTGGTGTTGCAAACGCCATGCTCTATCAACTGAGCTACATCCCTGCCGGCCATTCCCATTCCCTCCCCTACCCTGGACGACTTGTGCGCAGCCCATGAGTCTCCCGGTCGCGGCCGGCTGCAACAGAGCCTGGATTCGAACCAGGATCTCTAGTGGCACAGTTAGCACTGCGATGCAGTGCCTTAGACCACTGCGCCACTCAGGAGCCTTGTCCGGTCATCTTGGTTTACACTTCCACAGAATCCACAATGTGTTTAACTATTTTTTGTCAGTCTATTTGAATTAGGCTACACTAATCTCTTGACTCCAACCATGGCTCTCAATCTAACCTAAATGATGTGTTTGGGAAATATGGCAGGTGTTGATCCAATGACATGAATACCCCCACATTCCCTGGCTAGACTAGTACAGACCCAAGACAGACGATAGCAGAAAGAAATTGACATTTTGTAAGAGATTATCAGAGAAAGGAAAATTATACAGCAACCCAAACCACTTCCTTGAACCTTGACTACAGACACAATAACATTTGTGAGAGAGGTTAGAGATTATCAGAGAAAGGAAAATTATAGACTAAATGGCAAACCCATTCCCTGAGTCCTTAGCCCAAGCACTTGGCTATTACTGAACCAATCAAGTAGTAATAGGAAATCCCCGTTCTATAATCCTCTCTCCAATAATTCTAATGATTTACTCCAGATTTTAGGTTGAGCCACTCGACTCCGAGTCCAGTCCTTTCCTGGGCCAGTATTCAGAGTAGGAGTGCTGATCTAGGACCAGGTCCCCCCTGTCCATATAATCATATTCATTATGATATAAAAGGCAAAACTGATCAGCACTGCACTTCTACTCTGAGACTCTTTGTGACTATACGCCAGGAAGAAAACCCAGAGATTAAGATCATTACAATCCAGTTTTTTCCCCAGGCATCCTGAGTCTTTGGATGCATCCCAAATGGCACCCTATTCCCTACATAGTAGGGGCCCTGGTCAAAATAAGTGCACTACATAGGGAATAGGGTAGCATTTAGGATGCACTCTTTGCTTCTATAGAGGTCACAGTTCATGTTCCCCTTTTGTGATTTTGCTGGTGTTTTCCTGGGGGGAGGAGCCTGTCTTTCTTTGTTGAACTGGACTTGCCGGGCGAGGTCTTCCCATATTAAACCCACTCCGAGGGGGGCTGAGACCACGGTTGTCATGTACTGGTTGTACCAGAGCAGAACAGAGCAGAGCAGGGGTGTATTCATTAGGCACCAAACGGAAGAAAACAGACTAAATCACAGAGGGGGGGGGGGGGGGGGGGGCTACCTGAACTTGTCTAATAAGAAACACTCGCTTTGGTTTGCTGTTGCAAAATGTTTTGGTATGTTGTGCCCTAATGAATACAACTCGGAGCAGAGAGAGTCTGGTAGCCTAATCAACTGGACAGGAATTGTTCATTATAGCGCTCGCAGCAGCTGCACATTCACAACCCCCCAAAATAATATTGGGAGTGACTCAGTCGCACTGATAAGGAATATCCCATTTTTGAAATCCCAGTTAATCCTGTATCCATAGCAATTTTCAAGGCAGACTACACTGCAGATTGTGTTTCAAATAAAATAAAATAAAATGTTATTTGCCACATGCGCCGAATACAACAGGTGTAGACCTTACAGTGAAATGCTTACTTACAAGCCCTTAACCAACAATGCAGTTTTAAGAAAAGAAAACAAGTGTTAAGTAAAAACTGGATAAGTAAAAAAATAAAAATAGCAAATAATTAAAGAGCAGCAGTAAAATGAAATAACAGTAGGGAGGCTATATACAGGGGGTACCGGTACAGAGTCAATGTGCGGGAGCACCGGTTAGTCGAGGTAATTGAGGTAATATGTACATGTGGGTAGAGTTAAAGTGACTATGCATAGATAATAAACAGAGTAGCAGCAGCGTAAAAGAGGAGGTTGGGGTGAGGTCGGGTGTGGGGTAATGCAAATAGTCCGGGTAGCCATGATTAGCTGTTCAGGAGTCTTATGGCTTGGGGGTAGAAGCTGTTAAGAAGCCTTTTGGACCTAGACTTGGCGCTCCGGTACCGCTTGCCGTGCGGTAGCAGAGAGAACAGTCTATGACTAGGGTGGCTAGAGTCTTTGACCATTTTTAGGGCCTTCCTCTGACACCGCCTGGTATAGAGGTCCTGGATGGCAGGAAGCTTGGCCCCAGTGATGTACTGGGCCGTATGTTAAACAGTGAGTTTAAAAGAGCTATGCATCGCCTACATACATATGACTATGTGACCTATTGTACCATATACGTTACATTCAGACAGGCACATACACAGTCTATCAGCCATTATCAAATAAATCTAATAAAATTGTATTTGTCACATGCTTCATAAACTAACAGTGAAATGCTTACTTACAGGCCCTCCCCAAGAATGCAGAGAAAAATTATAACACGAGGAATAAATACACAATGAGTAACGGTAACTTGGCTATTTACACAGGCTACCAGTACCGAGTCAATGTGCAGGGGTATGATGTAATTGAGGCAATTGAGTTAAATACTGTATGTACATAAAGGTAGGGATAAAGTCACTAGGCAACCGGATGGATTATAAACAGCAGCAGCAGCGTAAGTGATGAGTCAAAAAGGGTCAATGCAGATAGTCCAGGTAGCTATTGGTTAACTATTTAACTATTTAGCAGAGTTATGGCTTGGGGTAGAAGCTGTTCAGGGTCCTGTTGGTTCCAGACTTGGTGCATCTGTACCGCTTGCCGTGCGAGAACGGTCTATGACTTGGGTGGCTGGAGTCTTTGAAAAGTTTTTGTGCCTTCCTCTGACACCGCCTGGTATAGAGGTCCTGGATGGCAGGGAGCTTGGCCCCAGTGATGTACTGGACCGTACGCACTACCCTCTGTAGCACATTGCAGTTGGATGCCAAATTGCCATACCAAGCGGTGATGCAACTAGTCAAGATGCTTTCAATGGCGCAGCTGTAGAACATTTTGAGGATCTGAGGGCCCTTGCTGAATGTTTTCAGCCTTCTGAGGGGGAAGAGTTGTTGTCGTGCCCCCTGAGGGGCCCCCCAATGTTGAGGGTCAGTGTGGCGGATGTTTTGTTGCCTACCCTCACCACATTGTGGCGGCCCACCAGGAAGTCCAGGATCCAACTGCAGAGGGAGGTGTTCAGTCTCAGGGTCCTGAGCTTAGTGATGAGCTTGGAGGGCACTATGGTGTTGAACGCTGAGCTGTAGTCAATGAACAGCATTCTCACGTAGGTGTTCCTCTTGTCCTGGTGGGAGACGGCAGTGTGGAGTGCAATAGAGATCGCGTCATCTGTGGATCTGTTAGGGCAGTATTCGAATTGGAGTGGGTCCAGGGTGTACGGGATGATGTTGCTGATGTGAGCCATAACCAGCCTTTCAAAGCATTTCATGGCTACAGATGTGAGTGCTATAGGGTGATAGTCATTTAGATAGGTTACCTTGGCGTTCTTGGGCACAGGGACTATGGTGGTCTGCTTGAAACATGTAGGTATTACAGACTGGGTCAGGGAAAGGTTGAAATGTCAGTGAAGACACTTGCCAGCTGGTCAGCGCTTGTCCTGGTAATCCGTCTGGCCCTGTGGCCTTGTGAATGTTTAAAGGTCTTACTCACATTGGCTAAGGAGAGCGAGATCACACTGTCATCCGGAACAGCTGGTACTCTC